TCTGTGTGGGTAAACTATACAATTAACAGTGTAATCTTGTCAAGCTTACATGCAGCCGTGAAGAGCTTTGTAGGCTGAAATGACCTTTCTAGATAACATTGAATATATTGTAATGGACACATTATTTACAATTGAATTTGTGTAACTGTCCCCCTATGCTAAAAGTAAACTATTCTAATTTAGGTTTTTGATCTTTGTGCAGATCAGCATTTACAGATGCATGTTTTTTTTATACTAGAACATACTTGAAATATGCATGGTTTCAATAAAGCATTTTTATTGCAACTTTTGTCATTTTATTTCTTGAGAACTTCATTATTTTGTCTTAAGCTACCAAACAAGCATAATTGTCCTTTTAAAGTTAAGGTTTTTCTAACTGTGCTAAGCAGGGATAACTACATGTTGGAGTATCTAGTTAAGGTACAAAAGTTGACTTCAGTATAATAAAATTGAAGAATTCTAGGCATGATATTATGGAAACTGGTATAAATACTTTTATTTTTTTCACAACGATCCAGAAAGATTGTATAGTTTGCAATTAGCGTCTTTTTCAACACACACATGAATAGCTATGTGACCATCTTTTAGCCATGTCCCCATTGTAAGATGGTGTAGCATAAAATATGCAGACAGCACCATGTTTCTACTGATGTTTACTACTAAAGTGAAATATTACATTTGGGAAAGCAAAAATCAGTTCTCCTTTTCTCTGATAAAGCATTGATTTGTAAAGTGTGTTGTATTTCTCGGTCAGAGCAATACATGGCTGAGCAGAGATCTATTATACAGGAGGCGTAAAGTGCCACAGACTAACGTTAATTATTTCTCTTTCCATAGTGGATGAATAGTCCTAACAATGGAAATTGGCAATAATGTTTGGCAACAAGTGATTTATAGAGTGGAGGGAAAACTGTTGTGTTTTTAGGAGAAATTTGTGCCTCCTTGTTTTGTACTAAAATTTGGAAAACTCCGGTTTGAATTTTCATATTTTAAAAGTTTTTGCAGCGTCAATTTCCAACCTAGCAACGTGCTGCTGTGTACAGCAAAAAACAATTCAGTTGTTTAAGATTCTGCAAAAATTAAGTTTTTCTTCATTTTATTCTTGGGATTTGGGTTTTACTGGTAATGTTAGTGTTTTACTTTGTCTGTACCTCCATTTCCTGAAAAAGTTGAAGCCCCTGTTGAAGTACTGAACTCTGAAGAAGCAGCTATATTACTGTTATGTTAGGAGTTCAAGAATTTTGATCTTCTGATAAGGAAGGGACAGTCACATGCCCAAGTCTGGATGGGGTGAATCTTAGGAGCTTATGGCTATTTCTAATAGGGTGATGGCATATTTATGTGGTGCTGCTTTAAGAAAAAGCTTTCCAAATTGCTGCAGTGAAGGCGTACTCAGTAGCCAAATGTCAGTGATGGGTGTATAGGTGAGTGCATGAAGCACTGATCAAACCGCATTTTTTGGGGCGGTTTCATTTTTTTGTGTGGCTGTTGCAGTTGTATTCATCTGAACAAATGGGCAGTGTACTTCATCATATTTTGACTAATGCCTCATTAATAGTGCAGCAATTTTGGGCAGCCAGAAAATGAGCCACTTAATGCAGAATACCCAGCTTTTGATTCTGAGTGGCAGGGCTATTTTGTGGGTAACTGAACAAGATTTTGGCTTAATGCTGGATACTGCCTTTCCATCTGGCATATTGGTGGAGGAGTCAAGAGGTCTACAGCACAGAACAAGGTCCTTTGGCCCATCAAGTCTGTGCAAGCCAAAAATTACCACCTAACTCTCTTAATCTCACTTTTCCAGCATTTGCCTCTTATTACTACAGTATTGAGAAATTAAGTTTGTTTTGGGATGGTCATTCAAAGCATTTGCAAAGTGTGAATTGCAAGATGTTGCTTTCTTTTTGTAAGCAGTGAATATGTTTGGATTTACGCGGCTGCCTGGATGAAGTCACATTTCCTGTGGGTGTATTATAAATGTGTGATAAACAAGGTAGACAACTGCCTTCACTGGCTTGGAAAGAAGTTAATTTCTATGGTAAAATGTATACTAAAAGGACACGCACATGAAGATGTATTAAGTTTTTTTTTGTTCAAGATTGAATATATGATTTGGTTTTAAATGGTTTTTTTTTTCCCTATTTGGATTAGCTGTCAGCACCAACTGGGAACTGCAAGTGGATCTTTGTGGCAGACTTGTATTTGGAATAGTCACCTAAGCATATGTGAAAAATGGAAAAGTACAGGGAAGACATGTCAGTATTTGTAAAGAAGAAAAATTACCGATCTGCTCCAGGCTTTTTGAGTGTATTCGTTAGGTTATAGATAGTCAGATGTAATAAAGTTTTTCTGACCGTACCCTCTGTACAACTATAATAAATAAGCTCTCAAACTGCAATTACACTGATTAATTTTGTAAATGCTGCTGCTTGTAGCTACTTCTGCCAGGAGATCTGCTGTCATGTCACACCTGTTTGTCTTGTGCCATCCTCACATTTGCTGTAGCTCACCTCTGTCCACTCTGATGCCCACATCAAATTCCACCAATGTTGACCCTTCTTTATTGCTCTCAAGGAGGGATCTCTGATTTTTGGCTCTGATGAAATGGCTAAAATAATGACGACATTTTCTTGATAATTTATGGAGTTCATTTTGTGCTTGTAATATTAGGTTGCAATTGTCATGTGGAATTTTTATAAATTGGAAGTATTAATTTAAATTCAAAACTCAATCCTAAAATGACTTGTAAGAACGGATGCGTGGTCAGAATGCTTCAAAGAATTCAAACAATAAGAATCTATTAGTGATCCAAGTAGACAAGGTTTTCTGGCTGTTTCACACAAGTTGGAAGGTTTCTGAAAAGTGAAGACTGTTATTTAGCAAAGTTTGATATTTGAATAATTTGTTCAAACAGGTGAAAATTTGTGTGTAGTGTGATAGTTTTTTTTAAAAAAAAATGCAGTTTAACTTCTTGGAAAAAGAAGAACACGTGTCTTGCTGTAGATGGACTCCAGGAACCAAACCTAATCTAACTTGCATGTTAGGTTGACAGCTATGCACACTTAACGATGTTATACATCTTGTTAAAATGCATCAACATCTTTGACTTACAAAGGAAAATAGCTGTTCAAAAGAAAGCAATAATTATTACACAACATTTTATTCTTTTTGCAGTAATTAAATTTATAGATTTAAAATTGCTAAGATCTTTTACTCCTAAGAATGCTTGCAGCTTCAAGCAGGCTGCAAAACCTACAGAGGCTTCTCATTGCATTTGGTTGTTTAGCATCTGGGTAGGGTGTTCACTTTGGCAGAAAAATACAAGTCAACCCTGTGTCCTGCACATGTTAGAAAATTGTAGGCAAGGACTGTAATCATGTTGTGGATGCTGAAGGTTTTAAAAAAACAAAGGACTGAAGTTTCTCAGATTTTTAGCTTTTTTTTTTAGAATGTGATTCATGGTACTCAGCCTGTAATAAAGGATGATGACTTTTCTCATGTATTTTTCTGTGTTATGTAAGTGGCTTCTTCAGTGGCCATCTCGTGGAATCTTGTGACAGGAGAAGTGAAATTGCTCATTACTACCCAGACTTCAGATGTTGTATATCATGACACTGTGGTCCTGTACTGTAATCTCAGAGGAAGTGGTCCAGATTGAGAAGTTTGCTCTTCCTTAGTTCACCGTTGAGGATCTGGAGGTGAAGTGGTGGAAAGGGAGGCAGTTTTTGTTCTTGGCTCTAAAGGAGCCTACATCACCAGAGTCAGCCAGCCTGAACTGAAGTAGCAGCCAGTGGTCGGTGTAATATCCCGAGTGAAACAATGCACAGCATTGCAGGACAAACGTTAATGATCTGTGCTCCATGAGAGTAATTGCTACCATCTTCTCTATACTACCTCATGCTCACAGGGCTACCATTTGCTATAACTGTGCCACTGCACACATCTCGCCAAATCTCAGGGACTACGGTGTCCATTATTGCATAGCCAATCAATGGCTCTCTCACTATTTGCTATTCCAGCTCTCCATGCTTCCCAACCATTCACTGGCGACACCCCATTATCTCTTTTGCGCCTACACTGCTGCTAATTGCTCTGTCGTTCACTGTCATCATACTCAGTCCCCCCTTTTGTTTAACTATAGAAGACATTGGCTTACAGGAATTAAGGGACTGATGAACTAGTTGCTCCTGACCTGCAGGACTAACCTAACACTGCACTAGATTTAGACATGTTCCTTGACTGACTGCAGCAGTATCACCTGAGTGAACAGGGAGAAGCATTTAAGTCATATGTGTCTGAGCTCCTGAATGAAGTCTTGAAGGTCAGAAGTTGATCTAAGAGCATACAAGCATCATAGTATGCAGAGGTTGGTGGCATGCTGATGCTTGACTGGCTTGGATGAAGGGAAGAGAATGGCATCCATTGGAGTATTTAGGGACATTGTGGTGAAAGCAGAGTTTGATGAAGGCTCAGAGAAAAGCAAGCTGTGACTTACTGCTGCTAGATCATTTTTCTGACTTTCACGTCAGGATTTGTGCTGCCTAGTTCCTTGGGGATAGAGAGAAAAATGGGAAGCTGTGGAATTGAGATGAAATAGACCATGAATGTGATGCAAGTGCATGGAAATAAGGGAGTTACTAGCTACTAGTGAAATTTGAAACTCGCAATTTGAACCTTAAGCAGAAAATCAAAATTATTTTTCTTGACATCGAGATTCTGAATTTAAAAAAATTTTGCCCTATACTCCCACATTTCCTGCCCGTGCTGCATGGGTGGGGGGAGGGGGGAGAACTGGAAAAATTCTAATACTTCTAAGAAATAGACTGAAGTATCAAAAAAGTATTAAAAGGAAACAAACAATTAAAAAAAAACCCTGTTGGGAAATGAAAATGAAACCCTTAAGTGTTCCAGAAATTATGCAAAAAACTGGAGAATCTGCAGAAAGAGGGTAACAGGTACTGAGAGCATTGCACATGCGCAATTTCATCTCTCAGCCCGCAGCTAAGACGCTAGTGAGTATTGTATTGGTAAGAAAACCAATTATTTCACTATTAGTAAAATATCGTAAAGGACTTCAGTGGGGCAAAAAAGACAAGATCCCAAGTGGGCAAATAGCGTCACCCTTTATTTAACATCTATTTCTGTATATTCCTGCCAAATTAATTCATTGCCTCACAGTTGCATTATGGTTTTACTGCGGGTGTCAGTTTTTAACTAAATATCATGTATATTTACATGAGGGAGTCAGGAAATCAATGGGACTTCAGAAGTGCCGCGCAGTGTGTGCAGTAGCAATTTGCGAATTTGATACCTTTTTCATTGCAACTCTCTAGTTAACTGTATCTCTGCCTAGAATTAAAGGCGTACATTAGGGAAAGACAAACGGGGGCTCAGTGGCGGTGGATCCACCCCTTGTATCTCAATTCAGGGTGTTCATATGTATCTAAGTGTATCCCACTGAATTTTACTGTGGCTTCTGTTCTCTGGCTCGCTGTCAGCTCCGCCATTTTGGTAAGAAATAAAACCTAGTGCATGGTTTTATTAGTCAATAAAAATGAATGATAATTCCTAATGAATGGTCGTGACATTCCCCGCTCAGGTAAATCTGAATATCATGATTTATTCTGTTAATTGATTTATCATGATCACATTTACAGGAATGGCAAGATTGAAGCCATTTAAACTGCAGTGATTTAATGACATGTTTAGTGTTTGCTTTAACTGGAATATTTTTTTCAGCCGTCTTTTCGGATCATTTCAGGCAGGGTGTGAAATATGCTTTTTTAAAAGTAATAATAATTAGCCTTCATTTTCAGAAATCCGGTGAAGAAATATTTGATTTGTCCAGCAATATTTATTTATTGTACGCTGGAAATAAAGTGCACATTGATAATGACAAGCAATATATTTTAAACTTAATTCATGCCCCGTGCATTATTTATACAACGAAAGGGAAAGAGATTTAGTGCACGTTGAACATCACCTCATTCGATAGAGCAATGTAGTGTGGCTTCAACACCGACATATACCAGATTAAGCAAATAAGGTTAACTAAATTTCTTGAATTATTGTAATACTTTTTAAAATTGCTGTATTTTAATAGAACACATTTATAAGTCTTCATAGTCCTCAATTGCAATTCTGAAATTTCCCTTGTGGCCAATTAAATCTCGTAGTAATTGATTATGAATTAATCGGCAAAGTGGAAAACAAAGATTTGTTTACTTCACAGAAATGGACATGATAGCTAGACAAAACTGTGATAAAATGATGAAATGGGGCAGTGTTATTGATAAACATTTACTTTTTGGGCAAATAGTTATACCATTTTGTGAGATAGAAAAGGAGGGAGAAGTAAAACATGACTTGTCAACAACGGAAATCTGACTTTTTTTGAAGAACTGGAAATCGTCAACAGTTCAGTCAGTATCTGTGGAGGTAAAAACAGCATTACTATTTAAGGTTGACCGTCTTTCATTGCAACCGGAAGATGTTGGAAATCTTTTAAATTAGCTGATGACTTAACGCTTCTGGCGTAATTAAGAGCTTCCACCTTTTGTAATATCACCCAACTTTGTCCCTGCATCAACTGCTTTGCTACTAAAATCCTCATTCATGTCTTTGTTACCTCTAGACTTGAGTGTTTCAATGCAGTCCTGGCTGGTATCCCACATTCTACCCTTTGTAAACTTAATGTTATACAAACTCTTTATCTTGCAAAACCCTCCAATTCCTTATGAATCGTGTTGGTTCCTGATCAAGCAAGGCTTGATTCTTTACTTTCAAATTCCTCTATGACCTCATGTCTCCCTAGTTCCTTAATTTCCACCAGCCCAATAAAATTCTGAAGTATCTGTGCTCTTCTAATTCTGGCCTAATAATCCAGAGTTTTAATACAATTTTAATTACTGCACCTTAGGAGGTTGTGCATTCAGTTGTGAGGCCACAAGCTGCAGAATACTCTCCCTACTTCATAGAATCCCTACAGTGTGGAAACAGGCCCTTCAGCCCAACAAGTCCACACTGAACCTCGGAGCATCCCGCCCAGGGCCATCCCCCTATAACCCACCGAATCTACACCTCCCTGAACACTACGGGCAATTTTAGCATGGCCAATCCACCTAACCTGCACATCTTTGGACTGTGATAGGAAACCGGAGCACCCGAAGGAAACCCACGGGGAGAATGTGCAAACTCCACACAGACAGTCACCCGAGCCTGAAATTGAACTGGGGTCCCTGGCGCTGTGAGGCAGCAGTGCTAACCACCATGCCACCCCATCTCTCTTCATCTCTCTACCCTGCTCTTGTTAACTCCTTAAAATGACTCCTTTTGTCCTCTCTATTGGTCATCTGATCCAACGTGACTTGGCACTATACTTTAATCCTGTGGAATACTTTGGGACTTTTTGTTACTAGTTCTCTATAATGTAATTTGCTAGTTGTTGGGGGAGTGATATTCCAGGTGACCAAGAAAGGAGGCAAAGGGAGAGTGAATGGAGTGATTAAATGGCAAAATTGATGGAAATGACAAGGTAAAATAAGCTGAGAGTGAGACTGTTGAACATATAAAAGATCAGTGTTAATGGGTAAAGGATAAGAGAGGAGGAGGGATACGTGGTAAATCTGGCATAAGAAGGAGTTTATAGCCCAGGTGGAAAGAAAAAGCAGGGATAAATGTCAGGAGTGAATCCTGCTGGAAATTCATCTATACATCCTTCCACTACAAATACTAGTCCACAGTTCTTCCAACGGCAGTGGTGCTGAGGCAGGCATCCTCCATTATCACACCTGCTGTCTCGGAGAAACTTGAAGTAGTTGTTAAAATTGTTAAACTCATTGTGAGGTAGTCAGAAGGCTGCTATTTATATAGTAGAAAGATGAGGTGCTGTTCCTCAAGTTTACATTGTGTATTGTTGGTGAAAAGAAACATAAAGAGACACACAAATAAATCTTTTCATTTATATGGTGCTTTTCATGACCTCATGGTATCCCAATGCACTTTAAGCCAATTAATCAATCTTCAGTTGCAAAATATGAAGCATAACAGCTAATCTGTATACAGCAAGCTCCCAAAAATAACAGTATAATAGTGAGCGGGTAATTAGTTCCAGTGATGTTGACAGAAATAAATATTCACCAGAACACTGAGGATAATTTCCCTGCTCTTTTTCAAAATGATGCCAAGAAATCTTTTGCATACATCAGAGAGTATAAGCAAGACTTTGGTTTAATGTCTTATCCAAAAGATAGTACCTCCAACAAAGCAGCACTCTCTCAATACTGCACTGAGTGTCAGCTAGAATTTTGTGCTCATGACTGTTTGGTGAAACTTGATCCCAGACTATTAATCTCCGAGCCATGACTGACTCAAACCATGTAGAAGTGCAAGGTTAGGGAATGAGAAAGGAATGGAAAATTAAATTGGCAAGCAATCAGAAGCTCAGTGTCATGATTGTTGTCTAAACCGTTCAGGAAACTGATCACTCAATTTGCATTTGATTTCTATGGTGAGGAAGGAATAGTATAATAACTCAGAAGAAGTAAATCACAGTTTCACTTGACTGGTGGAAAGAAAGGAATTTTTTTAAAAAAATCATTCACAGGATGGAGGAAACACTGGCTTGGCCATCATTTATTGCCCATCCCTAATTGCCCAGAGGGCAGTTAAGGGTCAAACATATTTCTGGAGTCACATGTAGGGCAGACCTCCTGGTAAGGACAGTAGTTTCCGTCCATAAAGGACATCAGTGAACAAGATTTTTTTTTCCTGGCAATCAACAATAGCTTCATAGTCATCATTAGACTGTTAATTCCAGATTTTTATTGAATTTAATTTCCACCATCTACCATGGCGGGATTCAAACCCAGGTCTCCAAAGTCCTGGAGTGAGAGTTGAACGGGGCTACCATTTTGGCAGAAGAGCACTTCCATATACACGCATTCATACAATTAGCATATTTATATTTTCTAACAGGAGTAAGCAGGCAGAATCTTGAAACTTTTAAGGATTTTCAGATCTTGGGACCATTAATCCACGAATAATCTCCTGCATGGTATTATGGTGGTAGCGAATTAGGAGGCTGTACCTGAGAGCACCATCGACTTAGGGATGGCAGCAGCAGTTCCTTAGCTGGACGCACAGAATGGCATGCAGCACTGTTCAGCCAGCAGCTCCATGGGAGGTGAGGAGCCCTTTGAGGAATTGCAAGCTTTTAAAATTTTTCTCAGGCACAGCTGTCAGATTCTCACTGCAGTGGCCATACTGTTGCCTAGTGGCAGAAGCTGATTGAGTGCTGGGGGTCCAGTTCCAGGTGTTTAAACATAGGAGGTTTTGCTGGTTCCCAAGCATGTTGCCAGGAGGTCACTTCAAGGAATACGCCATACTTTGCCAGGATCATGGGATGGATCTTCTACCTGAACTCAGCGGTGCCTTCAATTTGGCAACAGTTGGTTAGAAAATTGAACTAATTGGCTATTTGCTGCTGCCATTGTTCATTTGTCTGCGATAAGATCGGCTGAAGGTGGAGTGCCTTACATCAGCTGCCCGTGTGTCTTTCCCAAAATTCGCTGACCATCTGCTGTCAAAGCAGGCCTCTGACAGCTGATAAGATTCAGCTCAACATTTTAGGCACTGACCCTGATCACAATCATGACTTTGTTTCTCTCTCGACATGCAGCCAGCTTGTCGGCTGTTCCCAGCACTTTCAAGTGGTAATTGAACCCATTTTTGAACTGCTATGTTTTGCTAATTTTGATTGTCCAGAAAGATGTACTATAAAACTGAACAGATGTCACAACGTATGACATAATTGGGAGCTCTTGAAATTTTCTGATATGATGACTTGTAAAGTTCTGAACAAACCAAATATTCTGAGCAAGCATTAGATGAAGTACCAACTAATTCCTAATTTGTGACTTTGTGAACATGACTGACTTTTCAATTTTGCTGACTTCACTCCAGACCCAGTTGCAATCAACTGCTGAGCCACTTTTGTAATGAATAGCAGAGTGGGATTGGAGGTCCTGTTGCCTAGTAGTGTGACTGCACCCAGGGATGTCAGCCTACAGGTAGTGAGCAGCAACAGCCCTACTCAAAATGATCGCCTGTCAACTAAAGCCTTCATTATTCCAGGTATTGCACTGTTAGAAAACAAAGAACATTTGTGAAAATATGTTTAAAAGATGAATTTCATTAGGCAATAATTGATTAACTGCCTTAAGTTGAACTCATCTAACATATTTGGACAAGCTGTTAAAGAACTAAGAATAAAAATATTCAAGTATGGACAAACAAACTTAAAATTCGAGTCATATCACATAATTTGTCAGTGGATAAATGTTTATATATGTTGCAGTCAAGTTCACTTCTATGTTTTGCATGTGAAGACAAATTTTACTGATACACAAAATGATACATTGCCTGAAGTTGGTATTGTAGTTCTGTAACTTCCATACTTTTTTAAAATTAAGAACATCATATAAATGTCGTTGGGAGAACAATCAAATTATCTTTAGAGATAGTAAGAACTGCAGATGTTGGAGTCTGACGTTTCAGGTCAGGATTTTCTGAAGAAGGGTCCCGACCCAAAACATCAGCTTTCCTGCTCCTCTGATGCTGCCTGGCCTGCTGTGTTCATCCAGCTCCACACTGTGTTATCTCAAATTACCTTTGATTGGTTTATAATAGACAAAGGTAGGTTATTTAATTTATGAGAATTTTGGTAAGAAACAGTTGACTTCAAATCGTAATGTACATAGGAAATGGAGTCTGAGTAGCTTTGTGGATAAATTATCTCCCCATTGGTACAGGCAGAATCCATTGTGTGACTGGGAGAAATTCTCAGCTGAATAAATGAAGAAAAATAGATTACAAGGTGTAAGGAAGATTCTGATTGAGTTCCTGCATTAAGAAATACTTAACGTTGCAGTTCTAGTTCCATTTTCAGTATGATTTGAATAGATCTGGATCAAAGCAAACTGATTACCCAAACCAAATATTCTTTCGGCTACCAGATATCATGGCTAAAATTGTATTGTTTTACCAATTGGAATTTTTCTAGTTTGCTTTTAAACAACATTACAATAGTGATTATGTCATGAAAAAAGCATTATTTAATGTTACCCACTATAAATATAACAACAGTCAAAGTTATCACAGCTTCATTTATAAGTTTGAGGGTCTCAAGGAATGTACACTTGTTGTAGACTGATTAAATGTATTGTCAGGTTTTGTTTGTCTTCACTTTCTTCCAAATATAAATTCAGTCAGTCCAGCTGAGAATAATCGAAAACCACAGAATTTCTCCAGAGAAAACCAAGGTGCTTCTTTGCCAATCGAAGGGGAACAGTCCGACAGCACTGTGCCAGTGACTGCAGCAATTAGTCCACTGATTACTGCAGCACACAAATGTGACATGGTCAGTGTTTTGGAATGGAAAGATGGTATTGCTACCTTACCTGGGAGCAATTTGAAGGTGAGCTTTCCTGATTGAACTCTACATTATGAAATATTCATTCTTTTCTCCTTTTACAAAATATACTAAATAATAGATACAATCCATCAAGCAAGTAGAGGTATGTTGTGTTACAGTACACTTTCCCTTTCTCCTGGTAACCATCTGATGTTTTTTCTTGACCTTTTTTGAGACAGTGTCTCACATAAAGATGTTGTTGCTAGGTAATATCTCTCCCAGTTTTGCTTGTTGTTTTGTTGGTATGTGGGCCTGCATATGAGCGGCTGAAGGCTGTACAACTGTATGGTCATCAATAAACTTGATCAAATTTGGTTAATGAGTTCACAAATTAGGACTTGCATTAGATAGAATGTTGATCTGAATATGTAGCAAAATCTGTGTTTACTTTGCTTACCCAATATTTTTGCAATATTTCGAGCTACCCAAATATGGATTCCTCCAATTCACCAGAATGATGAATCTAGACTCTAAGGATTTAATTATAAACAGTAATTAAGCAAACAGGAATCCACTGAAATTTAAAAGGTTAAGTAGTGACTTGATCAAGCTTCCAAAAAATTAAAGGGATTCAGTAGGACAAATGGAAACTATTTCCACTGTTTAGGAAATCAAGGATGAGGGGACATAATTGAGAAGGTACAGCCTAACCTCTTAGGTATGAAATTAAGGAACACTTCAATATCAGAAAGTGGAAGACATTTAGAACTGTCTGCCTCAAATGGTAGTTGATACTAGATCAATTGTTAAATGTAAATCTGAAATTGATAGTTTTTTTGTTAATTAAAGATATTAATAAGCAAAGGCAAATGTAATGAGTTACACCAAGGATTAGCCATGATCTCATTTAATGGCAATATAGTCCTGTTCCTACATTCCTAAGTTGCTGGCCCTGTAAAGATTCAGTTTTAACTAGGTCTTCCAAACTGCTTCTGCATCCTGGAGCATTGTGGACAACTTTACTCAGCTGTGGATTGAAATCTCAAGAAATGTTAGGGATAATGATGTGCTGATGTCAGTAGATTGGTTAGTTAGTTGCATTTGCACTTGAAAAAAACATCACTGGATGGTTGTTTCTGAACATTCAAACAAGGAACAAGAAGAACCTGCTCCTCCATTCAAAAAGATCATGGCTGATTGATACTAACCTCGTAACTATATTGGCACATATCTCCAATAGGCTTTCATCTCCTTAGTAATCAAGAATCTATCTACCCCTATCTTAAAACTATTTAAAAATTTTGCTTCCACTGCCTTTTGAGGAAGAAAATTCCAAAGGCTCGCAACTTTCTGATGGAAAAAAAATTACTTCATCTCTGTTTTAAATCAGTGTTTCCTTTTTAAACTATGACTCCTAATTCTAGATTCTCCCACAACAGGAAGCATAATTTCAACATCCTTTCAGGATTTTATATGCTTCAATTAAGTCATCTCTGACTTTTCTAAGCTCCAGAGGATACAGGCTTAGCTTGTCTAGCCTTCCCTCACAAAGCAATCTGCTTATTCCAGGTGTTGGTCTAATAAACCTTCTCTGAACTGCCTCCAACACATTAAAATTCTCCCGTACATATGGTAACCAATATGGTGCACAGTACTTCAGATATGGTTTTTCCCAGGTAACTAAAGCATAACCACCTTATTCTTCCATTCAATTCCCCTCATAATAGAACATAACATTCTACTGGCTTTGCTGAGTACTTTCTTGATCTGCACGCTAACTTTCTGTGATTTATGCAATAGGACACTCAGATCTCTCTGCAACTTGCAACCCTCATAATTTAGATAATATACTTTTAAAATATAATTTTTCAAAATGTACAATTTCACACTTCCCCCTATTATACTCCATTTGCCAGATCTTTGTCCACTTACTTAACCTATCTATATGCCTTTCTAGGCTCCTTATGTCCTGTTCTGAAGAAGAGAGATTGTGTAATTCAGGTCTGTACTCTCTGGAGTTTAGAAGAATGAGAGGCAATCCAATTGATGTATATAAAATGCTAAAGGGATGGACAAAGTCAACATAGAAAGAATGTTTCCTCGTGTGGGGCAATCTAGAACAAGGGGTCATAGTTTTAGAATAAGGGGTAGCAGATTTAAAACAGAGATGAGGAGAAATTACCTCTCTCAAAGTGTCGTGAATCTGTGGAATTCACTAGCCCAGATTGTGGTGGATGCTGGGACATTGAGTAAATGTAGGAAGGAAATAGATGGATTTTAATTAGTAATGGGTTGAAGGATTATGGGGAGCAGGCAGGAAAATGGAGTTGAGGATGAGATGAGGTCAGACATGACCGTATTAAATGGTGGAACAGCCTTGATGGTCGGAATTGCCTACTCCAGCTCCTAGTTCTTACGCTCGTCACAACTCACTTTCCTACCTATCTTTTGTCATTAGCCAATTTAGCTCCCATACCTTCAGTCCCTTCATTTATATAAATTGTAAAGAGTTGGGGCCTCAGTATCAACCCCTGTGGTACAGCATTCGTGACATCCTACCAGCCTGAAAAAGACCTTCTTGTTCCTACTCTTTCCTTTCTGTTGGCAAGCTAATCTACTATCAATGCCAATATATTACTCCCCCACACGAGCTTTTATTTTCTGTTATAAACTTTGCTAGTGTGCCTTGTTAAATGCCTTTTGGAAATCTAAATATGATACATCCACTGATTCCTCTTTATCTATAGAACAAGTTATTTCCTCAAAGGACCCCAATAAACTAGGAAGACATGATTTCTTTTTGACAAAACCATATTGGTTCTGCATGAAACTGGAGAATTTCTAATGCAGGAGATGACCTGAAGAAGCAATAAAGTGGACTAAGTGCAAAGTGTTGTTTTAGATAGGTCCTTATCAAATTCTGTTGCACAGAGCAGCCAAGACCCAAAGTCTGGAAGACAATTTTAACTGGTACTTTAACCCTTTTCCCTCTTTTTATTGAGCCTTCTCAAACCCTTTAGTTTGAGGGGGAGCTCTGCTGACATTTCTGTTACCAGTTTCTTGTAACACCTTTGCGTTGGATCTGTAATGCCAGGAGGGTGATGTAGGAGCCCAGAAATCTCCCTTCCTGCCTTTTTTGCATTAAGACACCAGATAAAGATGTATTGAAGGCAAATGCCTATTGGTATATCTCTGGGCCCTGTAAAGTCCTAAATATTGTAAACACAGCAAAAACTTAGCATTTTTCTTTTTTCTATGCTTTGTACCTGGAGAATAAGTGCTGTCCAATGCAACATGTTTATGAGAATTAGCCCCAAAATGTATTATCAAGGTTTTTCTCAGCCACTTTTGAAGATTAGTGTATTTAATAGGCAAATAAGAATAGCTTGGTCACATTTACCTTACAGAGAATATACCATACAACATTGTCAGAAAACACTCCAGCTCTATCCATGCTCTCTATATGGAGTTGGTTGCAAAAACAAAACTGGTCCGTATTATTTTATATCTTGTTAATTACATTATGAATCACAGTGCCGCTGAAACTGTACAAAATGATTCCCAATAAGTTCTGATGCATTTATTGACCTAAACTGTTTCCACCAGCAGAGGGTCAGTAACTAACAAGCACAGAGAGCGAGGGGGAGCAAGCACGTTCTTTTACACAGTGAATTGTTATAATCTGGAATGCACCGCTTGAAAGGGCGGTAGGAGATTCAACAGTAACTTTCAAAAGGGAATTGGGTATATACTTAGGAAGGAAAAGGTGTGGGGTTATGGAGAAACAATAGAGGATTGAGACTAATTGTGCAGCTCTTTCAAAGATAGTAAAAATCAGCTACATCAAACCAAGAGATAGTAGAAGAAGGGTCCAGACACGAAACGTCAACTTTCCTGTTCCTCTGATGCTGCCTGGCCAGCTGTGTTCATCCAGCTCCACGCCTTGTTACATCAAACCAATATGTGTGCATTAATTGTGTGATATTTTTCTCTGCTTCTTCAATTGGAATTAAATCAATAATCTAAATTTATTCTATTCAATAAATTTTTGAAGCCTAAATAAAATATAATTTTGGAAACTACTTTGATTTTCCTTTCATATCAAAGGGAATTAAATGGAACAAAATATTGCATCATTATATTGTTGAACTAATTCAATTTTTGCAGCTTTTAAGTGTCTCTGTTGTTTTGTTGGATGAGCATTAAATAGTGTATTTGTTTATTTTTTCAGTTCCGATTGAATGAATTCGGTGTCCTGGAGGTTATCAGCACAGAAGGTGTTGTGACAGAGTCATTGTCAGAGGTATCTGTAGACACTAAAACAAAAGCGGAGAGTGATGCTTGCAGTGAGGCTGGCTGGAATACAACTTCTCCGAATGAATGTAAGATATGTCCACTGGGAAATATATTGGTGCTTCTGGTTTCAGCTTAATGTCAATTTGCCATTGTACTCCATCTAAGTGCACAGTGCATTTAGAATTATTTTATGCTCCATATTTTTTGGAATTGTTCTTTGGTTAGCCCTTTCCAGACTCCTTTAGGTGGGAAATGAGGAAACAAAGACCTCTTTCTTTTCTTAAAGTTTCTTTATTTTGGTAAAGACAATGACACCGTTGCTAGCCAGCAGTTTCACATGTGATGGGGTCATCCAATATTTTTATCAGGTGTCATTGTTTATGTTTGAGCTTCAACAGTGAACATCAACAACTTTTTTTCAAGTTCATTTACTAGATGTAGGCATTGTTGGCAAAGCCACCTAATTGCCCAGACGGCAGTCAAGAGTCAGTCACATTGCTGTGGGTCTGACTCACATGTATGCCAGACCCAGTAAGGATGGCAGTTTCCATCCCTAAAGGACATTTGTGAATCAATCGGCAATAGTTTCATGGACATCATTACGCTCTTAATTCCAGATTTTTATTGAATTCAAATTCCACCATCTGCCATGGTGGAATTTGAAGCCCAGGTCCTCAGAGCATTAACTGGATGCCTGTATTAATAGTCTAGCGATAAAACTACTGTGCCGTCACCTCCCCTAAATTCTACCATAATGGTCAAATGAACATTTTAGCTGTGTCCAGTTCTACCTGCACTGAAATTGCACAATATGTAAATCTAGCCAGAGCCCTCAGAAAGAGATTTGGAGCACTGGCCATATTTTCCTATCCCCACGGGACACGGAGATCAATTATAACACTCCAATTTTAGATCAATTGCAAGTGATCAATATATTTTCAAGTCTAAAGATTCAAGTTACCAAATGAATAGTTTAGCTGAAACATTTTGGCCTCGTTTACCACAATAATGCTGAAAGGTCTGCCATTGGAGAAGTCATACAGTCTGGAGTTAATTTTAATTAAATTAAGTTATACCTTAATTATCAGCTACTGCATCTGTGAAAATAAACATTGTTTTACACAAAAACAAAATAAAGAACTGCAGATGCTGGAAATCTGAAACAAAAACAGAATTTCAGGAGAAACTGAGCAAGTCCACAGCATCTGTGGAGAGAAAGCCAACTTAACATTTCAGAGATAATAAGAACTGCCAATGCTGTAGTCAGAGATAACACAGTGAGGAGCTGGAGGAGCACAGCAGACCAGGCAACATCAGAGGAGCAGGAAAGTTGACGTTTCAGGTCAGGACTCTTCTTCAAATTTCCGAAGAAGGGTCCTGACCCGAAACGTCAATTTAGCATTTTGGGTCCAGTTCTGAAGAAGAGTCGATTATCAGTTTACATGCAAAACCAATCAGGTCAGTGCATTGACAGCAAAAAAGAGGGGAAAGTAGGAAGGGAGGGAGGGGACCATTGGTGAGACCAGCATGTGTTGACCAATCCCAATTGCTTTTGAATGGAATGGCTTGCTGGGCCATTTCAGAGGGCAGTGAAGAGACAAGCACATTGTATGAATCCAGAATCACATGAGGACCAGACCAGATATGTCAACAAATTTCCTCCGTAAAGGCCATTAGTGAACGAAAAAGATTTTTAGAGCAATAATAAATGGTTACATAATCATGATTAGGCCACATTTAATTCCAGATTGTTATTGAATTCAAATTTCACCATCTGGATTCGAAGCTGCATCCCCAGATATTGTCAGTTCTGGATTACCAGTCAGTGATATTACCACTATGCTGCCATTTCCCTATTGCTGTGCTTCAGGATATATTTTGGTGGTAAGATGTACATTTGTGCCCATTATTTTTTTCATTGTGAGCTCTTATGGAGATTTCTTCTGTGTGCTTCAACAAAGCTTTAAATCTGTTGCTAAAGAATTAATTCACAATTTTTCTATAAGCCGTACACAAAGACAACATCTTTTGTTGCGAAGGTTGGTGAGGGGAGCAGGATGAAGAGAAAGAAAACTAAATCTGTTTCTAATTTAGAAATTTGTTTTTAAGATGTCTATTCATTAAATATTCAGTGAAGAGCTCATAACTAATTGGAATCATGTCTTTTTTAAAATGATGTAACATTACATTTCTACCTAATCAGAAAAGCTTTGATAATTACTTTTGTGACGATGCTGTCACTTTAAGAAGTGTTTTTTTCCTGAAAAGAGGTTATAAAGGCAGACGTCCTGAAGACTCTACGAAGTTGAACAGTTTAACAATGGAAGGGGAGGGGCCAGTTCTCGCCATTCAGTTTTTATCTAGTTTGTTTTTAGCTGTAGCAGTCACAAGCTGTTTGAGTCCACAAGAGTTGCAAGTTTCAGGACAGGACTCCTAGCTAACTTTCTCTGAAATCTGTCTCTGGACGTTGTTCCCTCCTGCCTGCAAGAATCGGTGTTTGAATTTACCTTTTGCCAAGAGGTGTGTTTATGCGATGTTACCATTATTGGAACGGTTAATTAAAGTTTCTGTATTGAGTATTCGGCTAAATTTTCCAATAGTTAAGTTATTCTAAATTCCACTTTTTTTTGTTCGTGTTTCAATTGTAGTGTTTAAATAAATTTTGCTTTACGTAAAGCCAAATGGTTTGATCAGTTGCATCACACCTGGAACATCCATTTCATATCAGCAATTAAAATAAGAAAAAGTTAGGGTCTAGGCTACTTTCTTAAAATATTTTGAGGGGGTCAGGCCTGGTCTATAATACTTTTAAATGCATAGTTATGTTAATAGGTTTCAAGTTAATTAGTTACCTGATTCTAATTAAAGGAATATTCCATTCTGGTTCCATAAAGATGATAATGAAACTGATATTTGCAGATATTTTATCTGCCTGAAAGCCTATCAATGTAAATCATTTGTTATTTTGTTTCTTTAAAGGAGACAACCATTCTTATTAGTTATTAAACATCTTGGCAGTAAATTATTGGTGAAGTGTTATAGTAGATAATGTGGAGAACCATTTATATGGTACATAAGTCACATAAGTTCCTAATGCTTCTGTCTGATATCTAAGATTGTCACGTAGCAAAATTTTTATGTGAGGGACACAGGAGAATTCTTTATAGCCTGCATTAAATCAAAACCCTGTGAACAGCTTGATATTATTTCCTGTTTAGTACATGGCTACGAGGTTATTATTTATGTCATTTTTAATAATGTTCTCATGGGGTGTGGGCGTGCCTAACTGCTTGGAGAAAGTAGCGGTGGGATGCCTTCTTGAGTTGCTGCAATCCATCACAGTAGGTATACCCACACTGCTGTCAGGAAGATAGATCTGGGCTTTGATTACATGATACTGCAGGATCAAAACTGTAGTTCCAAATCAGCATTGTGTGTAGCTTGAGAGAAAATTAGTGGTGATGATACACTCATGCATCTCCTTCCCTTATCCTTCTAGATGGTAGAGATTGTGGGTTTCAAATGTGCTTTTGAAGGAATCTTGATTAGTTGCTGCAGTGCAGAATGTACGTAGAATGTGTATACATTGCTGCCACTGTGCACCAATGGTTGAGGGAATAACATTTAAGATGTCAATGGACGACCGATTAAGTGACTGCTGTGTCAAGAATGGTGATGAAGGATTATATATATTATTGTTTGGGAACTTGGGTTCTAAGATGGAGAAATGATGATTTAATTTTGATCTTTATTTTGATATTGTGTGTATTAAAGAGGGAAGTCTGTATATTTTGTTTAATTTTAAGTTTGTTCTGTGAATGGTGTTGGAGGTCTGGGTTCTCAAGTTTGTTGATATGTGTATTTTTAATGAAAGTTTGCAGCTTTGAAATAGACCTTGATGTGAACAGTTCAGTATATTTGAAACAAGGGTAGAAGAGAAAATAAACGGCTGTTGTTAGCATATCACATGGAGATAGAAAGACAGAACTATTCAGAAGGATAGAGTGTGTGCATGTTTGATCAGAATGGAAACATGCTGCACATTTAGCAGTTTCCAGAATGTCAAGGCTGGGGAAAAAGTTCTGATTTAGTCCCATTTGCTAGCATTTGGCCCATATCTCTCTAAACCCTTCCTATTCATATACTCTTCCAGATGCCTTTTTAAATGTTTTAATTGTACTCTCCTCCACCACTTTCTCAAGCATCTCGTTCCATAAATGCACCACGCTCTGCATGAAAAAGTTACCCCTCAGCTCCTTTTTAAATCTTTCCCCTCTCACCTTAAACCTATGCCCTCCAGTTTTGACCTCCCCCACCCTAGGAAAAATACCTTGGCTATTCACCCTATCCATGCCCCTCATAATTTTATAAAACCTCTATAAGGTTACCCCTCAGCCTCTGATGCTCCAGGGAAGAAAGCCCCAGCCTATTCAGCCTCTTCCTATAACTTAAACCCTCTAGTCCTGGCAATATCCTTGTAAATCTTTTCTGCACCCTCTCAAGTTTAATAACATTCTTTCTATAGAAGGGCACCCAGAACTGTTGCAGTATTCTAAAATTAGCCTCACCAATGTACTGTACAACTGCAACATGACATTCCGACTCCTAAACTCAATGTTGTGACTAATGAAGGCAAGCATACCGAACACCTTCTTCACCACCATGTCTAGCTGCGACTCCACTTTCAAGGAGCTATGTACTGCACCCTTGTGTCTCTTTGTTTGGCAAAGGACCCTACCATTAAGTGTATAAGTCCTGCCCTGCTTTACCTTATCAAAATGCAACATCTCACATTTATCTAATTTAAACTCCATCTGCCGATTCTTGGCCCATTGGTCCACATGATTGAGGTCCTGTTGTACTCTGAGATAATCTTCTTCACTGTCCATTACACTGCCTATTTTGGTGTCATCTGCAAACTTCCTAACCATACCTCCTATATTCACATGCAAATCATTTATATTAGTGATGAAAAGCAGTGGATGTAGCACCAATCCTTGTGGCACATAGCTGGCCACAGGCTTCCAGTCTGAAAAGCAACCCTCTATCACCGCCCTTGGTCTCCTACCTTCAAGCAAATTTTGTATCCAGTTTGCTAGCTCTCTCGGGATCCCAAGTGATCTAACCTTACTGATTGGTCTACCATGTGGAACCTTGTCGAACGCTTTGCTGAAATCCATATAGACAATGTTTCCTGCTCTACCTTCATCAATTTTCTTTGGCGCCTCTTCAAAAAACTCAAGTCAAGTTAGTGAGACATAATTTCCCATGCACATCTTTCCGAATGCATGTAAATCCTGTCCCTTAGAATTCCCTCCAACAACTTACTCATCACTGACATAAGGCTCACTGGTCTATAGTTCCCTGGCTTTTCCTCACAGACTTTCTTAAATAATGGTATTACATTAGCTAACCTCCAGTCTTCCAGCACCTCACCTGTGGCTGTCGATGGTACAAATATCTCAGCAAGAGGCCCAACAATCTCTTTTTTAGCTTTCCACAACATTCTGGGAAGCAACCAATCAGGTCACAGGGATTTATCTACTTTTATGCATTTTAAGACCTTCAGCCCATCCTCGTCTGTAATACGAACTTCAAGCCAGCTTTCATGTCCTTCTCCACAGTAAATACTGAAGCGAAATATTCATTTAGTATCTCGCCCATCTCCTGGGGTTTTACACATTCACAGCCACGTTGATCTTTAAGGGGCCATAATCTGTCTCTAATTACTGTTCTGCTCTTAATGGACACTTGAACCTCTCCCGTTTTTAACTCCCGAGTCTCACGTGCGTCCCACGAACCTGCTCTCTGACTGAAATAGATGGAAGGAGACAACTAAGCCATGCAGAGCTACAGCTAGTCACTTACACCGAAGTAATTTGCTACGGTTGCTTTGTAAAAGTAACTTTGAGGTTCAGGTGACATCATCAAAACAGAATTCGCGTACATTTAAGGAGGCCGCTGATTAGTCAGATTTATGTTATGCTGTCTAACAAAAGGCAGATGGAAATGCAACATTAAGTCTATTTTAACAGAGCCTTGTTCAGTTCTTGATGGGTGGCATGAGTCAAAATCTGCATTGTGGTTTCAAGGAATTATGGGTTAACAAAGGAGGATTTAATGGAGAAGACCACTGATGTGTGGATGTTTCAAGATTTACATTTTCCATTTGAATATATTGCACCTACTGCCTTTTATAAAAATGCCTCAGATTCTGCAATAACTGAACTTCTCAGCTAACTTGGCTCAGGATGGAAAATAAATACTAGCAATGTCCACATCAGATGAATGAATTTAAAAAAAATCTTAATTTACTAAGACATATTAGAACATTTTTTTCTTTAACCTTACATACAGTACAACATTTGTCACAGGATATATACATGCTGTTTTTATATCCTTTAAAAGCAACGTATCAGGAAAAAAGTACCTGGAACATTGTCTTCCTGTAATACTGTATGTGATTGGTTGAGGTTTTTCTCTTTATTGCCTACTACGACAACAGTGACACAATAATCTAACACTCAATCACACATTTTTATCATTGTTTAAATGCATTGTAAAGATAAAATACAAAAGGCAAAATAATTAAATCTAACAGGAGCAACATTCTGTTCTGGTATTTCTGAAATATTCTGATACTTTTCTAGACAGAAAAGTGTCATTGAATATGTGCCCCTACATTTAAACTCTTGCTCTTAATGGGTTCTGTTACATTCATTTTAGTGATGGTTCACATGTCCACAGGTTTTTTTTATCCTAAATCTTTTAGAACTGGCCTTCCCAAGTCCCGTTCAATCTGCAAGCAAGATATAATCTACCCTCCCTTTTCTGTCAATGGATTGTGGACTTCTAGTGAGAAATGGAAGAAATACTGCAGCAGCTTGCTGATAAGATTACTCTGAGTTCTTCTTTCATCCAAGGTTCCTACCTGTAGTTTCCAACAATGATTTACTGGAATAGGAACTCAGCATGAAGGGCACCGCCTCATTCATGATACTCTAAATCATTGTACAGCTGCAACATCTCAGTGGACTATTTTAGTTTTTGCAAACATTCATTTCATTCCAATGTTTCCATAAACCAGCTGCTGAAAATATCTCAGGAAGAAAATATCAATCCAAACTTGGAAACCCTTCAAACACCACCGTTCTGAAAAAGGATCACTGGACTTGAAACGTTAACGCTGCTTTCTCTCCACTGTTCGGCCTGCTGAGTTTCTCCAACCTTTTCTGTTTTTGTTTCAACCTTCTGACCCCCATTTGTTTATCACACATTCAGATTTTTATATTTTAACATGTGAATAAGAAAAATGCCAGTTAAAGATTGCATGACCATACATTTAAATTGCCTTTAAATGTGAGATTGTATGCCAGTTGTTGTAGAAAATGATGGTAGTACAGTGTGAAATCGAAACACAAAGGTTAATTTTTGATCTTAATTCACACTCGGATAGAAATGTATCAAAAACTTTAAGGATTTTTAACATAATTTAGTTGTTACAGAGAATGCTTGAGGCTGAACAGAAACCAAAGAAACTCCTCAGCTTCACACTCCAGGAGCACCAGTGTTTGTTCATATAACACGTATATCCACTTACCCAATGTCCATTTTATCAACACTAATCCTCCAAACACTGGCAATCACCTTTTGATTGTCCATTCCTTCTTGCTTACCTTCCTTGGAGTTCTGGGTTTCTAGTTGAATTTCTGATTTGGGCTACCTGAAAAGCATGAAGTTCTGGGAGCTTCCAGCACAGTGCAAGATCAGCACTGGAAGCTAAATCACATCCACCTTCTACAGCAGTAATTGCTGTATTCTGGAGTATGAAGATCAAAGGCACTTTGGCTGTGGAGAGTAGGTAAGTGTGTTAGGCATGGGGTAGGGTGGCCAGTTGGTAGGTAAGGGGGACAGGACAGATGGATGAGAGATAAGGCTTGCAGCTGCTTGAGTGACTGGGTAGTATGGTAGCTAGTTCAGGAGACACTGGCAGATGAGGGGATAGTGTTGTAGGTGACTGAAGAATTAGGGTGGAAGATAGGGGTTGATGCATTAGGTTGTAGGTAGGTGAGTGAGGGAGCTAGGCTGAGCCATTTGTGAGGTGTAATCATTGTGGTGTTGGGTTGGTCAGGGGTGGGAGAGGGAGTGGATTAGAAGGCTCAGGTTTGGTGGGAGCTGCCTTTTCAGTGGCAGTGTCGGGTTGGAGGAGGGTGTTGTGTTGACAGGGGTGTTGGGTTGGTATGATTTGATTTATTAGTCACGTGTACTGAGTTACAGTGAAAGGTATTGTCTTGTGCACTATCCAGACAAATCATACCATCGTAAGTACATCAGGGTAATAGAACAGAGTATAGAACATTTATTATAGCCTCAGAGTAGGTGCAGAGAAAGATGGACTCTCTAATGTATACAAGGTCTGTTCAAAAGTCTAATAACAGCAGGAAAGAACCTGTTCTTGAATCTGTTAATACGTCTTTTCAAACTTTTGTATCTTCATTCTGATGGAAGAGGGTGGGAGGGATCTTAAATTATGTTGACTGCTTTCCTGAGGCAGCAGGAAGTGCAAATGGAGTCAACGGAAGGAAGGCTGGTTTGTGTGATGGACTGGACTGTGTTCGTAACTCTCTGTAATTTCTTTTGGTCTTGGGCAGAGCAGCTGCCATACCAAGCTCTGACACATCCAAATAGGATGCTTTCTATGGTGCATTGATAAAAATTGGTAAGAGTCATTGCGGATTTGCTGAATTTCCTTAGCCTTTTGAGGAAGTAGAGGCATTGGTGTGCTTTCTTAATTCTAGCATCAATGTGGATGGACCAGGACAAATTGTTGGTGATATTTTGTGTTGGTGGGATGTTAGATCAGCGTGCGTCAGATGGGGGGTCCGCTTTTTTAAGGATGGGTGTCAAATTGGAGGGGTGTCAGGTTGTGGTGGTATCAGGTTGAGGGAGGTGCAGTTAGCAAACTTTGAGAGGTGTTAGATTGGGGGCATATTGGATTGGAATGTGTTGGGTCATCGCGCACCAGTTTGGAAGGGTTTGGCTATGTCAGGGTGGATGTTGAGTTTGGGTGGGTCAGGTTGAAGTGTGGGTTGGATTGGGGGAGGTGTGGTCAGGGTACTAGGTTGTGGACAGTTTTGGTTTGGGGGTGTGGTTGGGTAAGGTTGTGTTTGGATGTTATCAGGTTAATTGGGTGGAGGAGCCAGTTGAATAGTTATCCAGGAATTAGAGCAGGTTTTGAGTCTCTACCTTTTCTTGGGTAGCTAACTATTCAGATAAGTGAATTGGAACCCTCTGACTTCTGCAATTTTAGTTCAGAATTGTAGACTTTTGTGGAGGGCTCCAGATGCAGAGTAATTGACTGTTGGAAGTTTAAATTTCCCAGGAAAATCCCAGGTAGCTGCAATTTCCAAGTAACCTTGTAGCACATTTCCCAGGGTATATTTCAGGAATGGCTATCTTCTGATTGAAAATTCTGGGCCATTAACAAGTCAGTAATTAAAAATTGAGAAGTCAATTCTGCTGGTGAATATCACATATACAAGCAATTTACCAGAAATGTGTTTTAATTAATATCTATATTTTTCCTACATCTTTTTCTCTCACAGTGAAACAGACTGGTATATCTTATATGAATGAGCTGCCACATATAGAAAGTGCCTGCTGCTGTGTGAACTGTGGTCACTCTTACACAGTGAACGAAATCAGAAGCAATAGAAGGTTCTGCAGTGAGCTTTGCTTGCGGCAATTTAAAGAGAAGTAAGATGGTTACATATAGATACATTCTTTATACAGTAGATCTTTTCATTTTTGATATTGGCTAACTTCAATTTTTCAACATAATGATAGGGCATATTTGATGGATCAAGTAAATTGCCAGATAATTGACAATCTCAGTGTCATTGATTCTAGCGGGTCATATGACATCTCCCAATTTAAAGTGCAATTCAATATGGATAATAGCCCTGATCCAATCTGAAGTTGTAGGTCAGTGTATTTAGACATATCTAAGTGTAGTGCAAACAAAAGGACCTGAATCCCTGACCTAATCTGCACAAAGATGCAGCGCAGTGCATTGAGACCTTAAACTATTTCAATTACCCAGCCTTGTGTTATAACCCCATAGTAAAAGATGTCACTCAAACTGAAATCTCGACTCTCAATGGACTAGCTCACAGAATATCACAGAAACTAATAATGGAAAGGTTGAAAATTTGAGGCACATTGTAACATTTAAAATACAACCTAAATTCCTTTGGAACATTTCAATAATTTTATATCCTGGCACAGAAAAGTATATACTCCATTGTGAATTGATTTCACAAACTGAGAGCACAGAATGACGTGAAATATTTTCCAGCAGGCTGCTGGTAATTGAAAAACAAATCAAACAGCTGTGTGGATGCTCTCATCAAATGAATGCTATCTGTAATCATGACAACTTTGATTATTTCAGCACTTAGGCTTTAAGTGTTAAGGAGAAATTCACAAAGCTGAACATAATCTTCGTGGATGAATGGGATTTGAGAGTAAATATAATTCCAGTTCTTAAATTTCTGAGACATGGTTTGGTCATTAAACTTGAATTGTTCTCGTGGAATAAGACAAAATGAGCGGAAAATAAAATGTTAGTGGCACTCTTGCCCATCAGATGGTTGGAGGTTGGGGAGGGAATTCAAACTCTAAACAGAAACCTAGAACGCACAATCTAGATTCGGGCAGCATGGTGGCACAGTGGTTAGCACTGCTGCCTCACAGTGCCAGGGACCCAGGTTCAATGCCAGCCTCGGGCAACTGTCTGTGTGGAGTTTGCACATTCTCCCCGTGTCTGCGTGGGTTTCCTCCGGGTTCTCCAGTTTCCTCCCACAGTCCAAAGATGTGCAGGTTAGGTGGATTGGCCATGCTAAATTGCCTGTAGCGTTCAGGGAGGTGTAGATTAGGTGGGTTATAGGGGGATGGATCTGGGTGGGATGCTCCGAGGTTCGCTGTGGACTTATTGGGCTAAAGGGCCTGTTTCCACAGTGTAGGGATTCTCTGATTCTATGATTGTCATTCCAAGGTAATATTGAATTGTCATTAAACTAAGCTGCTTCTTTCTTTTGAGGAAGATGTTAAAAATCCCAAGGACTGTTCAAGAAATAATAGAGGCTTTTCTTTCAACATGGTGAAAACTGACTAAATAATCAATCAATTTGTTGTTTGTTGGATCTTTGTGGAAAGTAGCTGTAGTCTTTGGCATTAAACAAAGTCAATATACTGCATACAGAGTGAATCATTGTATGTGAGAAGATTTAAGGTGTGATAAGGTTTTAATGAGTTTAAACTGAGAAGTCTTTTCTCCCCCAGAGACTAGCGCGTACATGAAATAGATTTCTACCTAAAATTATATTGATCAATATCTGGTGAGATATGAACAGGTATGCGTGGCGTTCTAGGAACTTTTTAATAAGTTTAGTTATAAAATTGCCAATTTAACAATCTCAGTTAGGTTAAATTTAACAATTTAACAATCTCAGTTAACAATATCTCCTAATCCTCTGTATATGTTTTTATAACAACAACAAAAATATGCAATTTTGCTTTGATTAATTAACAGGTCACTCAGAATGGGGAGTGCAGCAATCAAGAGAAGTGCTGGAGCAATACTTAAACGGGTTAAAAAGAGAAAAAGGAAAGTGTGCCTAAGCCCTAGTTCAGACTCAGATGAAGAATATGATTATGAGTTGACTGAGCCAGAGCAGGTGGTAGGTATGCTTCACCCAATATTTAACTGATACAATTTGATTATGCATAAAATCATGACAATTTTTAAGTATTTCTGGATACCTTCAAGAACATGCAGAAATTGCTGTTGTGCCACAATGAGAACATTGCTAATTGAAATAAATCTGTGAAATTCTAAGCATATTGCATGTAGCTGATCTATGGAGGTGGCCTCTTTATGTTGGTTTTCATAAATACTTCTGTATATTTTCTCTTATATTTAGTATAAACATGGCCCATGCGCACTGCACATTTTTTTTCTGAAGATATATTTTGAACTCTGAACAAAGAGCTTCGCTGGCCAGAATGACATTTTGATAGCACTGCAGGCTTTTGAATCCATTAATTTTAATGGATGGAAAATCCTGTAGGACGTTCTGATCTCCACACTTCAATTCATGACATATGCACATAAACATGAAACACTGTACTGACAGCATAAATTCTTAAAGTTTATCCCATGATGCACCTAACTGTAAGGTTGTTTGCTGTTAGGCATATCATTCAAATCTGCTTTTCTGGTTTTTGTTCAGGTGCTGACAAGCATCTCCAGGAGACCTTTGGTACCCTCTGCAATTTCATATGTCAGCAACCTTGTGTTATATGTTAGCTGGCTCTGATTGAGAAAACTAACAATGATCATTTACATATCTTCATGAGTTATTACATGTAGAAGATAAAAAATACATTTGCATGTCATATAGAGAAATTTAATTTCTGAGAAAATTTCTGTTAATAAATTAAAAGTGATATTCATTCCTATTTCAAAACGTTAGTAATAATCTACATTAATTTGGTCCACTGAATTGCCATGCCACAGAGCAAGTGAACACCAGAATGCCAACACATTGTGTAGAGACAACCACAAGTTCAAAACTAATTTGCAATTTATAATGCACCAGGTGGAATGTCATTGAGATTATCCATTGGGATGAAGGAAAATTGGAAGTAAGAGTCAGAATTCAGTTGAAACCTTAAACAGAAACAGAAAGTGGTAGAGAAACTCAGCAGGTCTGGCAGCATTTGTAGAGAGAAAACCAGAGTTAACATTTCAATCTAGCGACCTTTTGTCAGATCAGAGCTGAAAATAGTTGGCACTGGGTGATGAGTTGGGAATGGGTAGTATTCATGTTGATGATGAGGGGTGGGGTACGAGAAAGAGAGAGAGAGAAAATGGTACATGGATATTGTGCCCGGAGAGAGAAAGAGATAGGCAAGCAGGGATAGTTGATAATAAGCTGAGAAAGACATAATTGCTGGGTATGGTGCTAACAAGAAATGTAAATGATTGAAAAGGGGTTGGCTGTGCTGTGAGCAACCCATACAAAACAGGATCTAGGAGTGTGGGAGGAGGATAAGGAACATAAAGGAGGGTGTTTATGTTCTGAAATGTGAATGCAATGTTTGCCTGAAGGCTGTAAGGTACCTAGTTAGAAAGATGAGCTGTTGTTCCTCCAGCTTGTTTTGAGCCTCACTGTAGCATTGCAGCAGACCCAAGTCAGATATATTGGCATCTACCCTCCACCTAAGCTTCCACTTGCCTGACAGTTCAACACCCCACTGTTTTTCCATGGCAACATTTCAGATTTCTGGCATCCACAGTTTTGTTTTTATTTTAGTCGGTTAAAACCTCCCTATTCTTAGGAAATCGAAACAGGTGCAAGCCACTTAGCCCTTCAAGCCTGTTCCATTATTCAGTGAGATCATGGTTGATTTGCACAATAACTTCATTTCCTGTCTTTGCTCCACATCCTTCATAGCTTTGGCTAACAAAAATCTACTTACTTCGGTTTTAAATTAGTCATTAATTTAGCTTCAATTCTTGCATGTGGGAGAGTTCCAAACTTGTACCACACTTTGCATTCAGAAGGGTTTCCCTCATTTTTTTTACTGCCTCCAGTCCTAGATTCCCCAACTAGCAGAAGTAATTTCTCGCATTCCATCCTATTTGTTCCTTAGTAATCAGCCATCATGATAATCAGCGATGACTCGTGCATCTATTCAAATGGCTCATATGCCAGGTGAGATGAGTGAAGAGACAGTCAGTTGTCAGTGGATATATCTTAGGACTGTGGTCTATTCATATCATTCACTGAAGGCTCTAACCCTTATAGTGTGTAACATGAAAATAATTTAGAAATAAATCAATAAAAACCACGTGTAGATTAGCTGTAGAAATTTTGTTAAAGAGGAGCACGAATATGTAAAATATGTGGCCAGAGATATATCATAAAATGAGAATTGAACTTTATATACGAAGTCAAATTTTTTTGTCCATGATTCCTTGCACAGTTTATCAGAATTCTGTTCCACAGAGCTTATCTTTAGTATTATTTCACATTTAAAGACCTACATCAATGTAAAAGGATATCTGCATTCTGATCTTCAAACTGAAATATTTACCAAATATGACAAAACCTAAATCTGATTTTTCTTTGAATGCCACAACAGGATGAGAAAAAAGAAGATTTAAAAAATATCAGGGAGCACTTCATGGATGACAACATTCACACGGAATTTAGGCAAAGTCAACTGAATGAATCCAGTTATACAGTCACTGGACAGAGTATGTTCTGAGTTTCAATGATTTGTGTCCTTTTGAAACAAATTAATCCAGTTTAAGAAAAATGCAAAATTATTTGTTTTGTATTGAGTTTTTATATTTTTGCAAGTTGTTATTCCTTGTTTAACTGAATTGATGCTACTAAAGTCTATTAAAGCCCTCATTATCAAATTGAAGTAATTCTGGAATAAATTTCAGACAATAATTCAATTTTCATAACCAAGTGGACCACAAAACCCTCAGCTACCTTCTCAACAGCATTTACAAGTGAAACTGTATGTAAGATTTAGTATGGGAACGTAAAGTGTGACAACAACATGGATTTCTAATCTACATGGAGGCAGTGGCATATGGTAATGTCACTGGACTAGTCATCCACACCTCCAAACTAATGTTTTGAGGATTGGGTTTGAGTCCCACCTTGACAGTTCTTCCTTTAAGTTTTCTTTTTGGACTCATGAGTTCCAATAAGCCCCATGGGTTTCTGCTTGCAGTTTCCAATTTGGCTTTCGCTTTTCTCCTTTGCACTCAGTATTTTCCGTTCTGATCTGAGTGTCAGACTTTGGGACATTCCCAGCTATCCATTTTTCACCCTAGCTATTTGCTTTCCTTTCACTCTCCCATTTTCTAACCCTTTCAAATCAGTTTTGTGGATCAACTCTTAATCATTAGCCATTATTGTTGCCTGTCTAGCAGTTGCAGTTCTCAACATGGGTTCTTATTCGGAAAGTAGTGAGTTTTTCCTAAATTCCTCTAAGAGAAAATTTCACTAAGAGCTTTGTATATGGTTTCAGCATCTAGTCCTTGTATCCAACTGTCAAAATTACTTTGTTTAACCTTTTCATGTTCAATGTAGGCTTGCCCAGACTGTTTCCTTAAATTTGGCACTTTGCCTATGTGTCTCAGACAATAACTTATGCGCAGCCAGTATCATTTTCACAGCATCAAAATCCAGAGAAACTTCATCTGACAGTGAAACACAGAACCTGGCATTTTGCTTCAGCTTTTATTAACTATTACCGCATCCCAAATCCTGGTCTCTGTTTAAAAAAATCTGGCCACGAATCTCCAAACCCTCCTACAACTCATTGGGGTTGCGGACTGGAAAATAAGCCTTGTTACTCCCAGAGTCATCACAAGAGTTAAAAATATTAACATGGAGGGCTGGCAAAAAGGGGTTATTTTACTCCAACAGTAACATGAAGTGTTGAACATACACAGCATGTCTGGTGGTGTCTGTGCAGAGAATGACAGAGGTTAGTGACCTTTCATAAAAACTAATGAAGATTGTGGACCTGACATGTTAATTCATTCCCAGCATTCATATTTCAGATTTTCAGCATCTGCATTACCCTTTGAGTGTAAGCTTGACCTTGGCATTTGTAAACATGGTTAGTTTTAGTTTAAAATGAAAGCAGATTTATCACACAATGCAAAGTGTAATTTTTCTGTTAACAAGTCGTGCTAGTATGGATAGAAATAGCACAATCTTGTATGCAAATTGGTTGGTGCTAAGTTACTGGAGGTTATTTCCATTTTTAAACATGAAAGTGAAGCCAAGAATCATGTGCCAATAGAGTATGTCCCAGTCAGTTCCAGGTATTCTTATTTGTACATGGGATTGTTGTTTGCAAGTTTCAGGTCTTTGAATGTCCAAATAACAGTATATTGTCGGAGCCGATTGCATAGTATGAATGACTAAGACGTGTAATTGTCTGATACAGCAGTGGTTGTAAAGTATGTCACACTGAAACCTGAGCATTCAATGGACTTTATAAATAAAAGCATAAAGTACAAAAACCAAGAGGTTTTACTAAGCCTGTATAAAACAGTTCAATCCCATTGTTACCATGATTCCCAATGCTGGACTAGTGAAGGATGTTGGAGGGAGGGTTTGACGAGGGGTGTGGATTTATCAACAACAGAAAGAGGAGAAGTACCAAAGCCCTTGATTTCTCTCCCTGGTCCTGTGGCGTATACGGAAGGAAGCAGACATCTTTTCAAGGGATATCATTTGTCCCCAAGAATTCATCCATGAGATGTGATGGTGAAATAGAGAACTGTGGAACCTTTGACTGTTGGATGAGGAAAGAGCCATGGCAGCTGCCAGGGAATTGAATGCAGACACAATTATAACAGTTGGAGATCAGCTGAAAATTGAGGGAGTGAAGGCCCTTCCAGTTAATAAATGCCTTTGGTTGCACATTTGGAGCCTTGATGGCCACATGGGTGCAATCAATAATGCATTGCATTTGGGGTGGTCCAGCAACGGAAGCAAACCTACTTGGTCAGAACAAAATATAAATGTATCAAGCTGAAGTATAAGCCTTTTGAGCCATCAGAAGACTAGGTGAGTTGGGGTGAACTGCCTCCCCCTCTTTCAACTCCCTGAGTTGACCTCAGTAAAGTTTTGTGTCCTTTTTAACCACGAGACTATACTTCTCACAAATTAAAAGATGATTAATTAATTTCCACTGTAGTATTAAGGAGCCAATTAAAAAGTTACCTGGAGTGGAAGCAAAAAAAAAATCATCTTCCAGGCTGACTTTTACCCATTCCATTGTATGCCCAACTGTTTTTCTCGCTCTTTGGGCACCATCTCCACCTATTGTTTATTCCTTCCCCCCTTCCCTACACCCTACCTTCAGCATAAATACTAACCTTTTCTCGCTACAATCAAGTCTGAAGAAGGGTCATTGGATCTGAAACATTAACTCTGCTTTCTCTCCATTCATGCTGCCAGACTTGCTGAGTTTTTCCAGCAATTTTTGCTTTTGTTCTTGAAATACAAGCTTGTTTGTGTATTTCTATGTCTAAGTTCATTGTATCCAAGCTTGCAACTGCACCTTGATGTTCACATGTTCTCATCAAGTGTAAGAGAAAAGATAGATGAAGATTCTTGTTTTCAAACCATGCCTGCATGAACTCAATTGTTTCTTTGCCTTTGGATGAAATGTTAATTTCAGCTCAGCTGCCTGTTGTCAAATCCACATTGAAACTTGACCATGTGTGATCAAAGGATGCGTGTAAATTGGTGTTTTTGGTTCTTTTTTAAAACCACTTCACTACATGAAAGTCCAAGGTTTCACATTGGATGATGGAATTTGAAAATCACTAGTCTATGTCTTACATCATCATGACAACTTTTATAAATGCCCCATATAGTAATATTTTCAATCTTCACTGAGAAGTCAGATTGGTGCCAATGGAAGAGTCATATTTTTAAATTGAGAAAATTGGAGGGCAAGTCACACTTGTGCATCATTGTTGTTTATATGTCTAAGTGATTTTTTTTATATCCAGTCATTGTCACATGGACATTTACAGCACAGTAGGAGACTACCTGGCCCATTGTGTCTGCGTTGATCAACAAAAATGAAACGGCATTAACGCAGATTCCCAGCTCTTGGTCAATAGCTCTGGAGGCTATAGCAATGCATGTGAATATCTAAATACTGCTTCAAGGGTGACTCAACCACCCTTTCAGGAAGTGAGTTCCAAACTCCCACCACCTGGACCATCCTTATCCTTTTCCACAACTATCCTAAATCTAAAAGGTTATGGTCACTATGGCCAAAATGTTCATCTGCAGATACTTCTTCCACCTTCTCTGGCTCATTTCCCAATATTGGCTGCAGATTTGCCTGTCCCTTGTTGGGCTTTCCATGTGCTGGCTAAAATAGTTTTCCCAGATGCAGTTTAAGAATTTTGATCCCTCCCTAAAATTATCCCAGGTAATATTCAGATAATTAAGATCCCCTACTATTTTTGCATCGTTATTTTTACACATATCTGAAATGTGATTACATATTTTGTCCTCTGCCTTTCCTTCACTGTTTGGGGATCTGTGGTACACACCCAACAGCATGTTTGCCTCTTATGCTTTTAACATTTAGCCTCATTTGATAATCCTTCCAAGATATCATCTCTCCTCATTGCCATAATTGGTTTCTTGATTAATATTGGGACCCCCAACCCCCTCCCCACCAACCACTCCTCGTCGATCACCCTCCCTATGTCGTCTGAATGTTCTATAACCAGGAACATTCAATCGTTAATCCTGCCCATCTTTCAGCCAAATCTTGGTCATGGGTGTACAACATAATAGCTATTTGTGCCATTAGCTCATCTGTCTTATTCTTCAGGCTCCTTGCATTAAAATATATTCCAATTAGCTTAAACTCATTTCTTTCTTATCTATCCCATGTTTACCCTGTCTTCCAGACTCAGTTACTCATGTTTCAGCTTCTAATTCCATCTCAGGTTCTCTCCTGTCTGGACTACTTATCTGGGTTTTATCTCCTTGCAATCTAGTTTAAATCCACCCCAACAGAATTAGCAACCTCATCATGGGGATGTTGGACCCCTTCCTGTTCAGATCTAACTATCCAACTTGTACATATCTCACTTCCTCCAGGAATGGTCACAATTCCTCAGGAATCTGAAGCCATTTCTCCTGCACTGTCTCTCCACCCATGCATTCAGCTGTTCTAGCCTTTTATTGCTAAACTCACCACTGCATGGCATTGAGAATAGTCTGGAGATTACGACCTTTTTGAAGTCCTGCTGTTCAGTTTCTTGCCTAACTCCCTAATGTCTGCTTGCAGGACCTGGTTTCTGTTTCTTCTGATGTCATTGGTTCCAATATGGACCGTGACCTCTGGCTGTTAACTTTCCCCCTTCAGAATACTCTGCAGCCATCTTGTGATGTCCTTGACCTTGACACTAGGGAGGCAACATGCTATCCTGGAGCCAGATCTATAGCCATATAAATGTCTGTCTATTCCCCTCACTAACAAAACCCCTACCACTATTGGTCTTCCATATTTCCCCCCATATTATAAGGCTGAAAGTACTTAACAGATTCATTACGGTCTGATCAAAATTAACACAAGAAGACACAGGCACATCAATATGAAGAAAATTTTTGAACTTAATCTACTTAACGTATTTTAAAGCCGTACACAAAATAATGAGTGAAACCATTAGCTTAAGATACATAATATAACACACACAGACACACACATATATATAAATACATACATGTGTATAAAAATCAAGTGAGTTTCGTACTGCCTTGTTTCCATTGGTGGCACATAATTACCTCCCAGTCAAAACAGGCTGTTTTTGCATTATGCCTGTTTTTCATGTGCTTTTCCGCTTTCCTTCAATTGCTCATTGCCATGGGCAAATATACCCTTAAAGATTAATGCTTAATGGTCTGGTTTGAAGATATCATTTTCCAGCGCACTACTATACCTCTTCCCCTCACCAATAGCTGGACCACCCATAGCACCATGGGGTTTAGTACTGACTGGCCTCCACAGAAGAGCTGTCATTCTTACTGTTTTTCAAAGCTAAAAAGTGAGTTGTGAGAAAAGTGCACACAGGGGATTCCATCTCTACCTGCGTGGTCCCTTTTGTCCGGTGGACTGCAATTCCCCCTTTGCCTGCACTTCCTTAGGCTGTGGAATGATCACATTAGTGAAACATGTATCCATGAGCTCCTCAGTCTCATGAATGAACTGTGGTGTCCCCAGCTATTGCTCAAACTCCAAGACTGGAGCTTAAATTGCTTCGGCTGGAGGCACATCCTGTCAGTCCTGAACACAAGGTCATTCAGACAGCCAGGAATGCCAAGGATTTCATACGTAGTGCAGATTGTGGAAATCATAGCTTTCAAGACATACCTTAACTAAATCAGATATGGACCCTTGTTTTTATTTTACCCATACTTCTAATTAAGTATAAACTAGAACCCCTTAACTCTGTCAGGTGAAGAAATTTAGTTTTGAGTTCTAAATTATTAATTATCTAGGTAAAGTTCTTAAGCTGCATTTACAGTCTTAACTTAAATCAATATCCAGTCATGAGACAAGAGAGAAGTGCTCACCAATTACCTACCTGTTGTCTTATGCCATGACACTTTGATTTTGTTTCTGTGACTTCTCAGCTTTCATTACTCTTTTTAACCTCACTACCACAACTCCAAGTCCTGCACAGCTCTATTACCAGTTTGATTGGTCCTGGGACCTCTCCAATCTCACTGCTCCTTTTATCCTCAGTGCCATCACTTATGGGTGCCACACAGATCTGCTGTTGCTCTGTCTGTTTCTGGCACCCCTTGATTTTCACTGAAGCTTTTTAACCTCACTGTTGCTACATCCGAATCCCACACATATCCATGGCTGGTCTTTCTGCTTCAGTGATTTTTGCAGCATAATGTCTTTCAGCTTCTTGGATCTCTTCACAGCCAAGTATAAGTATATTCACTGCTTTATTGGAATACACAGTAGGTAATTTGGTCTCAGCAAAGTTCCACAAAGAGCAATGAAATGAATTATGGGTTTATTAGTTTTGTGATATTAGTTAGCTACTAATATTGGCAGTATAAAGGATCTTTGAATAAATTTGATTAGTTTCTAATAAAACTCCAGCCCTATCTACGTCATGTGAAATTGATAAATGTACTCATTTTGTAGCTGTTTTCAGAGCTAGGTAAGATACTTTTGGATCTGAGTGTAAGAAAGTTAATTCACAAGCAGAACTTAAATTCGCATCAGGACGAACATTTCCATTCGAAACAGGTATTACACAGAACCAGCCAAATTAAACTGTATGTTTAGATCTATTTTGAATTCCAAACAATAAACCTTTCTACATTTTAGAAACAAAGTGAGGACCATTTAATCTTTTGTATATTTTCTTCTAGCTGCCTCTGTAATTGAAAAGAACAAAATTTGGTCTTGGGCTTTATATTTGGAAGAAGAAAAGGCTATTGCTGCCCCTGTCAAGCTCTTTCGTGAGGTAATAACAATTCACATTTGCTTTTTTATTGTTATTGGCCTCAGTATTGTCTGACATAAGACATTTATTCAATATGACTCAATATCTGTATAGTTCAGACCTACTCATCCTTTTTCTAAGCACATTTACCATTATGACCTGCCCATCAGAAGAACTCCTCCAAAATTACAATATATTAGATGGCAGAATGTTGGTGGTTGTTATTTTGTATTTTTTCCTTATCTTTCATTTCCTGACTTTATCCGGAGCATTGCCAAAACAATAAAGGGCCCTACATGTTTGCGTCACCGTATGGTGCAATACATGGTGAATAAATTATAATGACTTCTATGCTTTCTGAAGGTTAATTATTAAGAAACCATTCACTTTTGTTGGTGTAAAGATGGAGATAGGGTTTGGGTTTTATCTAAATTATGGGCCATAGGAGATCCAGTTACATATTGGGAATGGTGTCGTTCCAGCATGTTCCAGTAGCACATCGCTGTTAATTCAGGTACTGCTTTTGCATCTGACTTGTGAGTTTCCCAAACAATGAAAATGAATGGGCACAATGATGCCTCATAACAAGCTGTCACAGCTCTGCCTGGATAAAACTTAAAACATGACAGAACAGTGTTTCCAATGAGCTGCATAGGCCTACACTGTGCACAATTCGGAAGGTACTGTGCTGGGATAAATATTGCACATGCACAAAATCCTTAAATGTGACTGTGCACTGACTGAACTGGTCTCACAAAATAACTTCGTTTAAAGTGAGCAATGTTTTACGGATGTGTTGATGGAGCCAAAACTGAGACCACTTCAACCAGGCCCCTCTAGAGATGATATGGGTGTAAGGGCTTACTGGAAGACCATAAGATAGAAGAGCAAAATTAGGTCATTCGACTCATCAGATCTGCTCTGCCATTTGATCGTGGCTGATTCTGTCCCTTACTAATGGGAGGAGGATGCCTGCCATAGCAAACAAAACGGCATGTTTTGAAATCGCTGAGGAGTTCACCAGCAGGAGTGTGGTGCCACATTCTTGAGTTCAGTGACAAAAGCGGTTTAATGACCCAAATAGACCAGAAAAGTTGAATGGCATGACACGTTTAGAATATCCTAAAGTGCATCTGACATTGAACCGCTCTACTCTTCTTTTCCAGAGTCTCCTCCTGCACATTTCTCAATGTACCATCACATCTTGCAGGTGCACCCATTCCTTTCCATTCAGACATCTTCGCAAATCCCCAACTTACCATACACCACTGATACTCTCTTGCCTTAATGCAATGTCACAACCATCCCTGCACGATGACATCCATGAATGCTGTCCATCAATTCTCTGGACACAGTTAATTTATCAAACTCTAGTGTCTCTTTTCCTCCTTGCAAGAGAAGAAAATGCAAAATGCAAGAGGGAGGAAACTGGGGCAGGTCCTCCAGTCAAACACATTCTGAGAGATGCTGAAGAGCATCTGGGGAAAAGCCAAGTCTTGGCCTATGGAGATGGATAAGGCGATTTCTCCCACCTGCCTGCTGACGGAATTAAATTTCTCTGCTCTGGAGTACTTAGGAGCAAAGTATAATTGATATTTGGAATTTTCTGGTTTGGATAGAACCATTAGCATGCCCAACCTCAAGTGGGTGGGTCAATGGGATATAAATATGTACCTGAGACATAACACTGTGACAAAACATTTTAAGACACTAATTCAAAATGTTTTATTTATCAAAATAATGTATCTTCCATGTTTCCAAACTATTATGTTGTACTGAAACAATGTTAACGATATTGAGGGAACTGGTGATTCCAGATAACCCATTTTCAATAGGCTGATACTGGGAAAACAAGATAAGAATTATACACTAAACCTCCAATATTTAAAAAAAACTGAGAATAATTTCAGTTCTCAGAAGCCTTGGTAATTTACTATTGGTGCAAAAGCCGTTACAACTCCTCCCTGATTGACCAACTCGTTTTCCTTTCATATTCTTATCACTGTCTCTCCTGCAGTCTTCTCACTGCAACAACCAAAGCTTGTTACTTTCAACTTCAGTTGATGCAGGGCCATTAGAATAACTTTGTGGGGCTTCACATTCACTATTTGCATGATTTCTTACAGTGCTGTGAGTGACACGTCTGTGACTTGTGTGAGCCAAAAAAATCTCTGGACAATTTGTATTTCTGGACTTCTGATTTCTGGATGTCACGGTGTATCACACAGCTGTGTGACATACAACACGCAGTCATGTTGACTTAATGTAATAGCCGCTAAAAGATGATTGAGTGCACAGTGATAACATCTTACCTTCTTGATAGTTCTAATTCATGTTTGCCATCTCAATGAGACTGCTGGGTCAGTTCATTGAGTTGTCATATGGTATTTCATAAATTACAAATGAGCAAGAGTGAATGTTGAAATCCTGTCTCAATAAAAGTATGGTTTTGAGATGGAGGATCAGATCTGATCATGTTGAAGGATGGAGCAGGCTCGATGGGATATAGATCTCCCTTGCGAGGTCAGCATTTACTTGACTGTCTTGTTTCAACTTACAAAAAAGCATAATAACAATGACCAACAGTCCCTACATCTGCAGAAAACTATCAGAGACAAAGGAAACATGTTAAAACACTTTAGATAAAGAAGGGGCTGAAGACTCTGTTCTGTTTTGATGGCATCTTGATAGTCTTGACACTAGGAGATTGAAACTCTTTTGTTAATATCAATTACCCGCAAAGTGTGCCATTTATGTTATATGATCAACTTTACCAGGGAAGACAGGATATTATAAGAATGCAGAAAGGCAGTAATGTCAAGAATGCCTGAAGAATGGAATAACATCCTCTCTCTGTCAATAGTTTGTTTTAGCTCGGATCCTAACTCTGTTACAAGTTGGAATATGTCACAGAGATGGTTAATGTTAAAATAAAAGGAATTTCAAATGTCATAGCACCATCTCTCAGAAAATAATTGATTGTAATCCAAAAGAGACTGACTCCAGATGAGCAACCGCCTTGCCTGCAGTTTCAGTGGCACCTCAAGACCAACATTGGAACATGTATTACTCATTGCTTGTGGTCTCTAACTTTTAAATTCCACCTCCTTGTTCTGTTTGATTTTGTGTGTGTGTGTGTGTGTGTGTGTGTGTGTGTCTGTGTGTGTCAGTCTCAAAATTCAGGATGGATTTTACCATATTGCTACTGAATTTACTGAATAAGTTTTTAAATAATAAAAATAACCATTTTACTTGCTGTTTGACCTGGCTGGTTTTATTCTCCTTAGCTTTACACATGTTCAAGTACATAATGTATTGAAGAGTAACACAACTTTCAAAATATTCAAAAATGTGTACCAATCTGAGGAGTAAAACAAAAGGAATACATTCACTCATCCAGGCTTGGTTGTAACATATTCAGCAGACTCCTAACTTGTGCTTTATAAGTGGTAAATGCTGCTTTATGTCAGTGTATAATCTATTTAAAACCACAGAGGTTTACAGAATAGCACTATTATTTTTATGATAGCTCTTTATTTAAGTGATCAAAATCTAACTGAAATATATTTGAGTGTAAAAGTAGTGGGGTCTGTTATTGAAGCTGGATATGAGTAGTGAAATAAACTGTGGTCAAGGTTATATATTGTAATTATTTTATAATGTGACTACAATTATCTTCTTTTGAACAGTATCAGTCCTTCCCACTGAATAAAAATGGTTTCAGAGCAGGAATGAAGTTAGAAGGTATTGATCCTACACATCCATCAATGTACTTTGTACTCACCGTGTTTGAGGTACTGAAAACATTATTTCATTTTTAATGTACCTATATTTATTTAACTTACAAAACTGAGTAGCTGATGCATTGAAAGAACAGGTTCAGGTTGTAAATAGTGAAGGAAAAAACAACAGAAAAAATGCCAGTTCCTGAAGAAGCATTTCACTTATTAATGGTCTAAAACACGTCACCTTTGAATGTGTTTGCTGCCTTTTGGTTTTATAGTTTCCTGCTTATTGTTTTTTTGATAAGTTAACTCCCTGACAATGATTCATCTGAGAACTGTTGAAATTCAAGCTAAAATTCATTTCAGAATATGATACGTTGGTGCATTTGTATGTATTGTGAGACAAACATGTGACAAGCATGCAGGTAATCAGAATTATTTCATTAATCTTTCAATGTTACATTTATCTGACAAATGCAATGAATGGTTTCATTCAAAACCATTGTTAACTGATAAAGAACAGTAAATGGTGGAAATAGTGCAGGGGATCGTCACAGGAAATTGAAGAATGTATCAGTTGGAATATATAACAGAGGGAAATTCTATGAGACCCTAACTACAGAGAATTGCAGAGGTATTTGCAAATCCTGTAAACTTTCTGATACGTATCTTGGTTGACTTCTTTTTCAACATACAAAATTTATAATCCCTCCATTCCTTGCTCCACGCTATTAACTCTATCTTTACATTGTTTTGCAGCATGCTTACTTTGGTTTTCTGTGCAAGCTCAGTTTTGATGAAGGGTCACTGGACCAGAAACATTAACTCTACTTTCTCTCCACAAATGCTGTCAGACCTGCTGAGTTTTTCCAGCAATATCTTGTTTTTGTTTCTGATTTCCAGCATCTGCAGTTCTTTCAGTGTATTTTTTATTGAAAAGTAACTACCATTTCACCTTTAAAACCCTTTTTGAATCTCAGTTTTTTCAATGAAACTATTGATGAGATGACCTTCGTTTCCTGAATGCCTTGCATCTGTCCCAATATTCTTGATGAGGTAATGAAGAGCGTTGCTGAGGCTAGTGCAGTTGAGCTGATGTACAGAGACTTCCAAAGGCATTTGATAAAGTGACACCTAACAGATTGTCAGAAAAGCTAAAGACCATGGAATAAAAGGAACAGTAGCAGCATGGATGTGTAATTTGCTAAGTGACAGGACATAGAGAGTGGTTGTTGCTTTTCAGACTGGAAGCGGATATACAATGGGATTTCTCAGTGCTCGGTATTAAAACAACTGCTTTTCCTGATATTTATTAGTGAGGCAGTCTTGGGTGTACAGGACATAACTACAAAACTTGTAAACAACAAAAAATCTTGGATTGTGAACTTTGAGGAGTATGACGATACTGTAACTTTTAAAAAGGTTATTTTGTCCTGGGTTTTTTTTTGAAGCGAGGTTGAAAGACAGAGGCACCAAGCAGTCTACCAGAGCCACTAGAGTAAACAATATGTGAGGCCTTTAGGTTTTTTTTTAAGAAGTTGGAACAGTGGAAGCAGCCTGAATGGGTATGGCCAGCTCTCACAGACCAGGCTTTCTTGTTTTGTTCAGCTGTAGCATTAGAAGCTGCTTGGCGTCTCAAAAGAGTTAGAGCTTCAATGAATGACTCCAGCTGCTACTTGCTGTGAAATTTCTCTTGATGTTTTTTCCTCCAGGATTGGAGAACTGCATGTAAGAATCTGTGTCTGAATTTGCCTTTTGCTAAATGTTTGTTTATGGGATATTACTATATTGGAACAGTTAATTAGTAATAGGTACTGTATCTATGATCCAGTTAAGTTTTCCATTGTTGAGTTGTTCCAAATTCCTTTTTCTTTTGATTGTATTTTAACTATAACGTTTAAGTAAATTGGGTTTTGCTTAACGTCAAGTAGTTTGACTAATCACATCGCATCTAGAACAGGTACTTCACACTTACCTTTAAAATAAGAAAAAGTTAGGGTCTAGGCTATCTTAAAATATTTTGAGGGGGTCTGGTCTAGCCCATAACATGGTGAAAAACAAGAGGAGAACATATTCAGGCAAGTAGAATGGGAGAGCATACTGCAGATGGAATTTAATGCAGGGAAGTATGAAGATGTGCATTTTGGTAGAAATAATGAGGAAAAGCAATACTAAGTACAGGATACAATTCTATTAGGAATGCAGGTGCGGGTAAAAATACATGAAGCAGTGAAGTTATTCCAAGTAGCCCCAGGCTTCAACTTCACAAAAAATTCCTGATTCAGGTACAAGACTGTGGAAAAAAAAGTTATGTTTACGTTTGTTTCAGATCAGCCACCAGGGATCGCTGTAGGACATCTGAACCACAAATGGCCCAAACTCATTTCAGTGTTGCAGCACTAGTATTTGTATCATCAGATTTGGACCAGAAAACTTCTTTAATGTGAAATGATTTCTGCCCCTGCCCCTAGATCTGTGCTCTATTTGCATTTGTTTGATTGCACATGATAAGCAAAAGAAGCAAATCATTCCAAAATAAACAAACAACGTTGCTGCATCTTTGTCTCCAGGAGGCAGTGTATTTATAGTTCCATACCATTGCAGTGTGTTCAGAGGTGGGTAGGGGGAGCATTTAATTGAGCAAGAAGCTGCACTGTGGAGACCCTGTCATCTTTCTGTCTTTGCCTTTGCCTGATTAATTCTGAGATAGAATGGCTTGTGGAAGGACTACCCACCAAAATGCCAGTCGTAGTCCACAATGAGGCCATTTATTGCCCATTTAAGGGCATTGCCCCACCTGTATTAGTATTCAACCAGTGGGCTGATGGGTGAGGGGGTCAGGGTGTGTGGGGGTTGGGGTGGGTAGTGAGGGTGGCAGTGGCATTTGGTGTGTGTCTGTCATCCAAACACATTCATTGCCCAGTTGAGGGATCTGGCTTTAGGAAGTGGTGAGGGACCTCCTGACCTTTATTCTGATTCCCAACACTTCCCCAACAACTCCCAATCTGCGCTCATTCTCTTTAGGCCTGGTTCCTTCAGTGATTCTCGGTGGACGGGTTTCTGGCAATGAGCATTGATCCCAGTGGTGTTGATCAATCTTGGACAGTGTCAGTCACTGACTGGTGGCAGCTCCCAGGAGTGGGATTTTTATCCCCAGACTCCTATACCCTGGGTAAAGCCAGTGAAGGGTGTCTGATGGGGCTCTTAAATCTGGCAGGCCTTCCCTGGAGAAGGTGACAGGGTTACTGCTGGTGGTTCTGTAGAAGGTGAACAATGGTCCTTTTGTCAACCTTGAAGTCCACCCAATGAGTCAGAGCCAACTCATTGTGAAATCCTTGTTGCTGTGACATTACTTCAGTTTGCAAACAATGATGGATATTAATTGTTTGAACTCCTGAGTATAATTGGCAATAATAATGTTTGTGTTAGGTTATAAAAGTCTAAGATAAGTTCAACTCAAAACTAGATATGTATGCTGTCTCAAAAAAAACATTATTTTTGTCTTGTCAAACAACATCAACAGAGATGACTTTATTTTCAAGTAGCTGCTGATATGTGGATTGATCCCAGTAACACAACAGAAACAGTTAACTTGCTATAATAGTTAACAACCTGTAACTCGCCAATCAAATATTGAACCTAAACAATCTCAAGCAAGATGAACCATTGGGGCTTTCGCACTTCATGACAAATAATGCTAGCCCAGCAATTTTTAGTTCGAATGTTAATGTTAGAAATTTAGGCTTGTCAATTCTCATCAACATTTTTGGTAAAGGAAAGGCTCTCTCCCAGCAGAAAATCTGGCAAGGGAATGATGGTTACGTTAAGGCTGGATTAATTGGAAATAAGCAGCTGTGTTGATGTTTGAAATGGAACAATTTCCAGGTTTAAATTTCTCCAATTCGTAGTAACAAATTTTGGTGACAAAATAGCAAGATGTCGCAATTTAAAAGTTGAAAAGAACATTATCAATATATGTCTGAAGGATAAGATTAAATAAGATAGTTTTGCTCTATATTGTTCCCACTGATAATATAGGCTATGTAATAATGAGATTGGAGTAATGTATGTTCCAATGGCATTGTGTGTAACCACCTATTCTCATACATGTACTAGTGCTCTCGTGGCTCCCTTTTCTGTTGCTCCTGCTATTGGTACTGTTATGTAAACAAATGCTCCAGAACCATCATTTTAGAACATGAAACTTTGGGAGTAATGGGATACAAATGTATTTGTTAAGTCCCACTGGGTTCCTAATTTCAGTCATCTCACTATTAGTGGTGTCAGGTAAAGAGCATTTGCTCTACTTTTGCTGGGGAAGAGATTCCGAGGAAGAGAGTTCTTGTCTTGTCAGTGTGACACATCTCTTTCGATTCATGGTATCATTGGTAGAGCCTGGGATCAATCATTAACCTGTTCTTCAACTATAGTGCAGGTGAGGGTTGGTGACGCCACAGTAAGAATGAAAAAAAATTGTTAATCCTTGGTTGAAAGAGTCAGTTAGATTAATTATGCCATCTGTGTATGTGACAAATATTTTAAGTTGTTTAACTAGTTCTTAATTGTTGGGAATACAGTTATTATCATTTCGTTTTTCCTGGCACTTTCAAAAGAGGAGTCTATTATCTTGCACGGGAAAATGGGATGCTGAGACTTTGCCACTTAATGCTAGTTTGATTCTTGTTGGTGATAATGATAGCTGCATGGGATTAAATGCCCAGTTTGGATGGCTAACATTTGCCATCATTTTTGTAAGGTAACAAACACTTTGCAGGACAAAGCAAGAGAATCAAGAGTAAGTAACTTAATAATTAAACTGTGGGGAAAGCTATCTGTAACTGGATAATCATAACAATGTCTTATTTCCTGAAGGTTTGTGGTTATCGTTTGCGACTCCATTTTGATGGTTATTCTGAGTGTCATGATTTCTGGGTGAATGCGAACTCTCCGGATATCCATCCTGCAGGATGGTGTGAGAAGACAGGTCACAAATTACATCTGCCTAAAGGTGAGATATATTCTGGCGTCAATCTCATCAAACTCACTCTGTGCAGTAATTGTAGGCAAACTAGGCCATTATCTTACATGTGTTAAATTGAAGTGACCTGGTACGAAACTATTGATGGAATCACAAACAACATCCTGAAATGCAATTGTGTATTGGAGGGAAAATGTACAAAAGGCAAAAGCTTATATCATATGATTAGTAAGTTTTGATGATCTTGTTTGATGCCACTTGTGCTAAATTTGACAAGAGAGCATTAGGTTACAGTGTCAATAAGAATGAGCCATGTGATTGTCAAAGATTTACTTTGTTAATAAGTAGGCATGTTAGCTGTGCTGTATATTATAATTTGTGATCTCGCATATAAAATTGCATTTTAGACTACATCAGAATATTGTTTGTCTGCTGTGTGAAGACTTTGGGTCATCTTCCACACGAACAAAAACATTTTCCACCAGGTGGCGTCATATCAAAACCTAATACTATCAATTTTTAAAAAAAAAATTCAAATATGCTTTCTGGACAAGTATGAAAATTAATTCTAATTTACAGTGTAGCTTGATATTATTTAAGTGAAAGGAGTCATTTTAATACAGGATTGATTCATTTGGGAACATAATGTTATTGTGCTAACATTTCAGGGCACAAAGAGGAAGAATTCAATTGGCCAAATTATCTGAAGATTACAAAGTCACAAGCTGCACCAAAACAGCTCTTCATCAATCAAAATACAGTGAGAAACTGCACAATTTTTAAGCAATTTCTTATGTTTATTGTTTGAACACACAGCTTTCTTCTCAGGGTGGTAATAAGGCCTTTCTCTTACAGCTTTAAATTTTTTAATCAGTTTTGTAGCCTGAAAATTAAAATAAGAACATAAGAGGCAGGGGCAGGTGTGAGCCTTACTGTCCGTTGAGTCTGCTGCACAATTTAATAAGGTTATGGCTGATCTTCTACCTCACTGCAGCTTTATCTGCATATCCTTTCATTTCATTTTTATTCAGAAATCAATCCTGACTTGTAAATACAATGACTAAGCATCCATAGCTCTCCAGGGTGGAGAATTCCAAAGACTCGCATACCTTTGAGTCAAGGAATTTCTTCTCATCTTGGTCCAAATGTTGAAATGTCAGTTGGAACATTCTTAGATGAATTTTATTTTATAATCTGAATTTTGTTTGTTTCTGTGAAATCACATTCACTAATGTGAACAATCATGGAGAGCACATTGGGTGCACTGCACCTCAAGAAGGATGCTTTGACCTTGGAGATGATACATCATCGATTCACCAAGATAGCACCAGGGCTTAAACATTGTCTTGTGTCGCCAGGTGTTTAGTAGATTAAGGGATGATCTAGTTTATATGTTTTGTCAGGCAAATGTTCTCCAGGTGAGAGGATCTTAAAATTAGAACTAGATCTTCAGAAGTGAGACCAAGAAGTGGTACTTCACGCAAAGGTCAGTAGAAACCTTGAGAGATAGTAAGAACTGCAGATGGAATCAGAGATAACACAGTGTGGAGCTGGAGGAACACAGCAGGCCAGGCAGCATCAGAGGAACAGGAAAGTTGAGTTTCGGGTAGGGGCCCTTCTTCTGAAATGAAGTTGAGTTCTCTTTCTCAAAAGGCAATAGTTGACCAAAATCCACAGATTTTTATTAGATGAGGGGATATGGTTAAAGATGGTAAATGGAGCTGTAGGCTGAGTAAATTGGGTCTACACACTGTGGAAGTCAGAACAATTAGAGGTGATCTTTTTAAAACATGTAGGATTCCTAAGGGGCTTAACAGGGTAGATACTGAGAGGTGGTTTCCCCTTGCTCTGAAATATCGAACATGGAGACATGGTGTTAGGAAAAGGGGTATATTATTTGATAAGGAGAAATGTCCTCATTCAGATCAATGTGAGTCATTCGAACTTTCTATCCCCGAAGTTTGTGGATTTTCCATGGTTGAGTAAATTCAAGGCTGAGGTAGATTTCTGGTCTCTCAGGGGATCGAGCGATATAGGAGCAGGTGGAAAAATTGAATTGAGACACAAGATTAGCCATAAGTATATTGCTTGGAAGATTGCAAGATTTAAAGATCACATGGTCTATTGCTCCTCCAGTTTGTTATGTTCTTATTTTTTAACTATGCTGTAACTCATTGGAAGAACAGTTCAGAAAGGCTAACTAAAAACAATTATTCCTGTATTCCCGTGAATACTTTAACATTAATACACATTTATTTGACTGTCAGAGTTCTGAGGAAGGGTCACTGGACCCGAAATGTTAACTCTGTTTTTTCCTCCACAGATGCTGCCAGACCTGCTGAGCTTTTCCAGCAACTTTGTTTTTGTTCCTGATTTACAGCATCCGCAGTTCTTTCATTTTTTATTTATTTAACTTCTTCCTCTGAGAGGACTCTGCTGTCTTCTCTGGTGTGGAGACTTAATTTAAGCCACCACCAGTTGTTCTCTGTCTAATGAGAGAGTAGGACAATGGTGACTTTATGGGTCAGTGGCCTGATGGTATTATCACTGGACTGTTAATTCAGAGACCCAGGTAATATTCTGGGGAGCTGGGTTTGAATTCCGTCATGGCAGATGGTATTGAATTCAATAAAAATCTGAGTTAATTGTCTAATGGTGACCATTGAATCCATTGCCGATTGTTGGGGCTAAAAAATCAGTAGTTCACTAATGCCCGTTAGGGAAGGAAACTAACATCCTTACCTGATCTGGCCTAAATGTGATCCAAAGCAATGTGGTTAACATTTAACAATTAGAGATGGACAATAAGTGCTGACCTAGCCAGTGGCACCTTCATCCCACATATCCTTGAATAAGAGAAAAGGCCAAGAAGATAGTTGGTGAGAGAAATTGAAATAACATGTTATTGAATCAAATCAAGCACACTTTTTTGGAATAGGGAGAAATAGGTGCTTTAATGTGCTTTAATATGACTGATGTTGTTCCTAAGAGCTTATGAAATTTACCATTAAAAGCTTCATACATATACAGTCTAATTGTGACTACAATAGTTCTCATCTTTGCATGGTTTTTGTAGTTTGTGTAGTGACAAAGAAGAAACTAGTGAAAGTGACTGTTTAAAAAGTGACGTTGGCACAGCTGAGCCAATTCTACAAGAGTTCAAATGATAGGCAAAATGATTGAATCTTATGATGTTTTAATTATAAGTTTTCTTTCAGATGATTACCCCTTTGGGATTTCGTGTTGGAATGAAACTGGAAGCAGTTGATAGAATGAACCCATCTCTAATTTGTGTTGCCACAGTGACAGATATCATTGAAAACAGGTTCCTGGTTCATTTTGACAACTGGGATGACACATATGATTACTGGTATGCTTTGCACTTTGCCATGGATTCTGAAAAGATACAAACAAAATAAATCAAAAAAGGAACATAAAAAGCATTGTTGAATGAAATTTAAAAAGATAAAGGTGGAAGAAAAATAGGAGGCAATGGCCTGGTGGTATTATCACTGGACTGTTAATCCAGAGACCCAGATAACATTCTGGGGACGTGCGTTCAAATCCCACTACAGCAGATGGTGGAATTTGAATTCAATAAATACCTGGAATTAATAATCTAATGATGACTGTGAATCCATTGTCGGTTGTCGGAAAAACGCATCTGGTTCACTAATGTCCCTTAAGGAAGGAAACTGCCATCCTTACCTGGTCTGGTCTACATGTGACTTCAGACCCACAGCAATGTGGTTGACACTCAACTGCCCTCTGGGCAATTAGGGATGGGCAATAAATGCTGCCTAGCCAGCGACGTCCTCATCCCGTAAATGAATAAAGAAAAAAGATTACTGTCAGTTTATGACTGCTTAAGAAAATGAGGGGAAAAAGGGATGTAATCCCAAATGGATGGAATTGGTTTTTGCAAAAATAATAAATGGACAACATGTATATGAGTTATGCTGAGGGATTTTTTGATTCATTCATGTTGTTTCTTCCACAAAACTGATTTTGTTTTTAGCCTTTTCGCTCCATGCTCCAGCATCATACCTCACCCAAGCAGGTTCACTGCTCTTGTGCCACTTGGTGATTCATGGGAGTGAGAGTTGCCTGAGATGTCTGCCTGATTATTTCCTATTCTCATCAGTTCCATTTGATGTCTGGTTGAATATCAAAATAAATATCTATCGAATAATCTATCAAAATAGATTAGTATTTTTACAAAAAGATACAGTGAAAGTGTTTAAGCAGCTATACTCTGACGCCTATATTAAGAACAGAAATCATGTATTAAAAAAAATTAAGATAATGTCCATCTTTGTTCAATTCACGGCTCATGGGTTCCCAAGGTTGAGGAAAAGACAGGAACCACATTCTCCACAGCTGCAGGAAGCTGACATCGAAGCTGCTGAATTGTGGGCTGTTGGGATCCCAGGCCGGACCACCGTGTCACCTAAGACACCACAGTAGGTCCCCTCGAGGACACACCCATCGCTAAAGCTGCTGCTGAAGCAGACCACCATGCTGGGCTTTTGGAATGCCTGGTCGCAAGATGCCACAGAAGCTGCCTCAAGGAATCCCGTGCTGTTGGAATCCCGGGTCGAACCACTGTGCCGCCGAAGATACTGTAGCCAGAATTTCAACCACTCACCAAACTGCTTTTTGTTTTAGAGTTGTAGCTAAACTGTTTATGTCTAGAATAGAATCTCACATCATTGGGACAGTGTTAGAATGTAACTCTTGTATAAATTTAAGATGATCTCCTTCACATTTCTGTCCCAACCACGTGTTACCTTGTTAACGGCTTTTCTGAAGTATATGTCAAGTATATCCATTTCATTTTGCCCATCTTCTGTACCTGTTACCTCCTCAAATAATTTGATAAGGACTGTTGGTTCTACTCAGTACTTCTATAAAACCAATATCATATCTAATACCAAAACTATACCAAGTAATTACCAGAGGAGTAGAATAACAAGCAGGTGTATAAGTATCTTATGGTATATCTAGGATCTTGTCAGCTATGATTCACACTCAGCAACTGTTGATCTCAGATTGTATTGTAATTGCAACTAAAATCTCGATTGTTTAATTTTCTGCTTTTGTTTAAAAATAACAATACTAATGTGCTGATTGTTTCAGCAACAACAAATGAGGAGAATGGATGGATAACCTTCCTCTAACTCAACAATTTTCTTTCCTAGGTGTGAAGCCAGCAGTCCATACATCCACCCTGTAGGTTGGTGTCAGCAGCATGGTAAACAACTGACACCTCCACAAGGTAAGTGGAGAATATCAACACTTAACTGTTCGGAATTTGAAGCTTTCAAATTCATCTGTAATCCATATGGATGGGTTGAGGTTAGTCCATGAACACACAGAGAGAAACTGCAAGCAATGAAGGAACAATGGAGAGATGCAATGATTGTGGAAATGTTGTGCAGCCAAGGCTAAGGAAATGGTATAGTGGATGTTGAATTTAAACTGTTTTCAAATAGAATTCAGAGCAGAACGTCACCATTTTTAATACCTTGTAAAATTGCATCCCCAATTTCACTGTTGTTCCACAACACCAGGCCTACTTCCATTAAGAATACTTGCTGCTTGTTTTCTACACACCAAAACATATCATCACCTCATATTTATTGAAATTTGAATGCTGTGTGAATCTTTCTAACCCATTCTGCCGTCAATATTCCTTTGGTCATCGAAAGCATAAACCACCTTCTATTTTTGGTATAATTTGTAAATATTGGCATGAGACTGTCTAGATCTATATGCAAATCAGCAAAATAGTCCTAGAGCTGGAACATGATTACATACTTCGCTGTCTCCACTATCGCTATGATTCCCCAGGATACTCATGTTCCACCAAGACTGGCATCCTGAGTGTTCCCCATTTTATTTGCTCCAGCATTGGTGGTTGTGCCTTCAGCTTCCAAGGCGCTGATTTTGGGAGTTTCTCACTGAATCTCTCCACCTGTCTATCTCTTATCCCTTCTTAAATATGCTCCTCAAAGCACTTTTTTTCATTAAGATTTTTTTTGTAATCTGGTCTAATACCTCCTGCTGTGGCTCACTGTTATATGTTGCTTTGTAATGCTCCTACAAAATACCTTGGGAAATTTTATTGTTAAAGATTCTATGTAAATGCAAGTTCCTGTTATTTGAACACTTCAAAAAAAAAGCCTATAAATTTCATAGATAACAAGGTGTAGAGCTGGATGAACACAGCAGGCCAAGCAGCATCAGAGGAGCAGGAAGGCTGACGTTTCGGACCTAGACCCTTCTTCATTCTCCAACATGTGCAGTTTCTACTATCCCTATAAGTTTCATTCCTGCTTTCTAACCAACCAGTTATCACATTTGCTGACATCTATATAAATCCAAAGCTTTCAAACCTCTCAAGTATGATCCCCTTCACATTTCTATCCCAACTATATGTTACCTTGTTAAAGGCTTTTCTAAATTCTAGTTCAAGGAAATCCATTTCATTTTGCTCATCTTCTGTACCTGTTACCTCCTCAAATAATTTGATAAGGACTGTTAAACATGATTCTCACATTTGAGATCCATACTTTGTTGCTTCTATATCTCTCTTTTCAAGTGTGGATTCATTTATAATTAAATGTTCTCAAATTTTCTGTCCATAGATATTAAGCAAACTGATCCATAGTTAGCTTGATCATATCACTTTTTAAAATCTGCTATTAAATTAACCACATACCAATGCTAAAGATTACAGGGGAGAAATTATGCACCATCACCATCACTAAAGAAGTAGTATTAGACAAACTCATGGGGCTAAAGGCAGACAAGTCCCCTGACCTTGATGGTTTGCATCCTAGGATCTTAAAAGAGGTAGCTACAGAGATAGTTGTTACCTTGGTTGTAATTTTCCAAGAATCCCTTCAGAACGTTTGGAAAATCATATTTTAATCAAACAGAGCCAGTATGACTTCATGAAAGGGAAATAATGTCTGACTAACTTATTAGAGTTTTTGGATGATGTCTCAATCAGAATGGATGGAGGGGAACCAGTACGTGTGTTGTATTTGGACTTCAAGAAGGCGTTCAACACGGTACCTCACAAAATGCTCAATTAGAAGATAAGAGCCCATGGTGTTGGAGGTAGTATATTGGCATGGATAGAGAATTGGCTAATGGGCAGGAAACAGCAAGTGAGGATAAGGGGCTCTTTTTCAGTTTAGTGACCATTGGAGCTCTACAGGGATCATAACTGTTTACAATATATATCAATGATTTGGAGGAAGGAAGTGAATTACTATAGCAAAATTTGTAGACGACAGACAAAGTAGGTGGAATGGCAGGTTGTGAGAGGGATACAAACAGTTTACAGAGAGATATTGGTAAGTTATATAAATGGAAAAAGGTTTGCAAATGGAGTACAAAATGGGAAGAAATGAATTTGTTCATTTTAGAAGGGGAACAAAAGAACAGAATGTTATTTAAATGGGGAAGAACCTGCAGAAAGCTGTAACACAAATGGGACTTGGGTAGTTGTGCATGAAACACAGAAAGCTAGCACATCAATGCAGCAGGTAATCAGGAAGGCTAATGGAATGTTGGCCTTTATTTGAAACATGTTGGAGTATAAAAGTAAGGTAGTCTTACTGTAAAAGTACAGGGTGCTCTAAGGCCACATCTGGAGTACAGTGAGCAGTTTTGGCTCCTTATTTAAGGAAAGATATTATTTCATTAGAGAAGGTTCACTCAAATGATCCCTGATATAGAGGGATTCCTTAATGAGCAAAGACTAAATAGGTTGGGACTCTACTCACTGAAGTTTAGAAGAATGAGAGGTGATATCATTGAAACATATGGGATTCTTAAGGGGCTTGACAGATTAAATGCTGAGAGGATGTTTCCCCTCATAGGGGTGCTAATTTAAGACTGAGATGAGGAGGAATTTCTTCTTTCAGTGGGTTGAGATTCTTTGGAACCTCTGGCCACAGACAGCTGTGGGGACAGAATCCTTGTATATATTTAAGGTTGAAATAGATTCTTGATCGGTAGGACAATCAAGGGTTACAGGGAAAGGGCAGACCTGAGGAATTTTGGATCAGCCATGATCCAGTTGAATGGTGGATCAGGCTTAAGGGGCCAAATGGCCTATTCCTGTCCATATTTCTTGTGGTCTTATGGTCTTATGGTCTTATAGTTCTCCTAAAGACATTCAGATGATAACCTTGAGTCTAAGGTGTGATTTTAAACCTGACTGCTTCATCGATCAGTTGACATACCCACACTGAGCCTGTAGCTTTTACTCTTATCCTGCTTTTGAGCACCTACCAGAAACCTCTGAGCTGCTTGTGTAAATATATAATTGGGCCGTGATGATTACTGGGGCTGTACTGCTGTTTCGCCTGTGGGTTTCAGTGTGAAAGTGGTGGCACAAGGTCAACTTAGAAGAAAGAAGAGGCAGGGAGGCAGTGGTCAACCTAAATGAGTATGCCACTATCATCACAAATGTCATCTGTAAATATACAGAGGACTATGTATCAAAGAATGTAATCTGAATGTTCCCTAACTGGAAACTACCGATGAACTGGAAGATCCATTCCCTCCGGAAATCCGGATCTGAGGTCTTCAAGTGGGATAACCATGACTTATATAGGAAATCTAGGTACGATCTTTGTAAAGCTATCGGGGACACCAAGAGACAACACCAGATTAAACTAGAATCCCAGGCTAACCACACAAACACATGCCGACTGTGGTAAGCTTCCATGATATAATGGGCTACACAGTGAAGTCGAATAGAATCGCTGACAACAATGCATCCCTCCCCGATGAGCTCAATACATTCTATGCTCATTTTGAACAGAAAATCAGTGAAATGATGTCCTCTGCCCCGACGGCCTTGGGTGCACCTGTACCCATGGCACATCGGCCCTCTTGAGGGTGAACCCATGGAAAGTGACTGGTCTGGATGGAGTCCCCAGCCGTGCACCCAGATCCTGCGCGGATCAGCTGGCGGGAGTATTTACCGACATTTTTAACCTCTCCTTACTACAATGTGAGGTTCCTATCTGCTTCAAGAAGACCACTACCATCCCTGTGCCAATAAAAATCAGGCAATGTGCCCTAAAGAATGCCACCCAGTGGCTTTGTCATCCATCATTGTGAACTGCTTCAAGAGCTTAGTAATGGCAATCATCAACTCCAGCCTCCCAGATTGACTTGATCCACTGTAGTTCGCCTACCATTAAAATAGGTCCACAGCAGATGTCATCTCCTTGACCTTACACTCATCCTTGGAATGTCAGGCTAACAAGGACACCCACATCAGAGTCCTATGTATTGACTTTAGCTCCGCCTTCAACTCCATAACTCCAACAAAGCACACCTCCAGACTCTAAGACCTAGGACTCTGTCCTCCCCTCTGCAACTAGTACTTTGACTTCCTGACCCACATACTGCGATCAGTAAGGATAGGCATCAACACCTCCTCCATAATAATCCCCAACACTGGTGCCCCGTAAGGTTGCATACTCAGCCCTTTACTATTCTCCTTATACTCTCACGACTGGGTGGTGAAATTCAGCTCTACCTCTATTTATAGATTTGCTAATGACACCACTGCATTGGTCAGATCTCAAACAACAATGAAACAGAGTACAGGAAATAGATAGACAGCTAAGTGGCCTGGTGTCTAAAGCCAACAATCTCTCCCTCAATGTCAGCAAAACAAAGGAGTTGGTTGTTGTCTTTAGGAAGTGGAATGGAAGACATGTCCCTGTCTATATCAATGGTACTGAGGTGGAGGCGGAGAGCTTCAAGTTCCTGGGAGTAGATATTACCAACGATCCATCCTGATCCATCATGTCGACCTTACAGTCATGAAAGCACACCAATGCCTCTACTTCCTTAGAAGGCTAAAGAAATTCAGCAAGTCAACAATGACTCTTACCAATATTTATTGAGACATCATAGAAAGCATCCTATCTGGATGCATGACAGCTTGATATTGCAGCTGCTCTGCTTACGACTGCAAGAAATTACAGAGAGTTGCGAACGCAGCCCGGTCCATCACGAAAACTAGCCCGCTTTCCAATGTGAGATAGTAGGAACTGCAGATGCTGGAGAATCCGAGACAACAAGGTGCAGAGCTGGATGAACACAGCAGGCCAAGCAGCATCATAGGAGCAGAAAGGCTGACGTTTCAGGCCTAGACCCTTCATCAGAAATGGGGGAGGGGAAGGGGGTTCTGAAATAAATAGGGAGTGAGGGGGAGGCGGATAGAAGATGGATAGAGGAGAAGATAGGTGGAGAGGAAACAGACAGGTCGTAGAGGCGGGGATGGAGCCAGTAAAGGTGAGTGTAGGTGGGGAGTTAGGGAGGGGATAGGTCAGTCCAGGGAGGACGGACAGGTCAAGGGGGCGGGATGAGGTTAGTAGGTAGGAGATGGAGGTGCGGCTTGAGGTGGGAGGAGGGGATAGGTGGGATGAAGAACAGGTTAGGGAGGTGGGGACGAGCTGGGCTGGTTTTGGGATGCGGTGGGGGGAGGGGAGATTTTGAAGCTTGTGAAATCCACATTGATACCATTGGGCTGCAGGGTTCCCACGCGGAATATGAGTTGCTGTTCCTGCAACCTTCAGGTGGCATCGTTGTGGCACTGCAGGAGGCCCAGGATGGACATGTCGTCTGAGGAATGGGAGGGGGAGTTGAAATGGTTTGCGACTGGGAGGTGCAGTTGTTTATTGCGAACTGAGCGTAGGTGTTCTGCAAAACGGTCCCCGAGCCTCCGCTTGGTTTCCCCGATGTAGAGGAGGCCACAACAGGTACAGCAGATGCAGTATACCACATTGGCAGATGTGCAGGTGAACATCTGCTTGATGTGGAAAGTCTTCTTGGGGCCTGGGATGGGGGTGAGGGAGGAGGTATGGGGGCAGGTGTAGCACTTCCTGCGGTTGCAGGGAATAGTGCCGGGTGTGGTGGGGCTGGAGGGGAGTGTCCTCCCACCTCAAGCCGCACCCCCATCTCCTACCTACTAACCTCATCCCGCACCCTTGACCTGTCCGTCCTCCCTGGACTGACCTATCCCCTCCCTAACTCCCCACCTACACTCACCTTTACTGGCTCCATCCCCACCTCTACGACCTGTCTGTTTCCTCTCCACCTATCTTCTCCTCTATCCATCTTCTATCCGCCTCCCCCTCTCTCCCTATTTATTTCAGAACCCCCTTCCCCTCCCCCATTTCTGATGAAGGGTCTCGGCCCGAAACGTCAGCCTTTCTGCTCCTATGATGCTGCTTGGCCTGCTGTGTTCATCCAGCTCTGCACCCTCCTTCCAATGTGTCTGTCTATACTTCCTGCTGCCTTGGGAAAACACCCAACATAATCAAAGATCCCTCCCACTCCACAGCATCGGGCAGAAGATACTAACGGATTTAAGAACAGCTTCTTCCCAGCTGTTATCAGACTTATGAACACACTTCTCATATATTAGAGTTGATCTTTCTCTGCAGCTTCTCTGTATTACATTACATTCTGCACCCTGTTCTATTACCCTGATGTACTCATGTAAAGTATGACATGTCTGCTAAGCATGCAAAACAATACTTTTCATTGTATCTTGGTACATGTGACAATAATAAATCAAATCAAATCAAATCAAAAAACTAGATAGTCAAGGAGGAGTAAGTCCTGTCACATTTATTAATGTTCCTTCTGCAGCTGATACGTACAGTAAAGAACATTCAGACATCACTAGCCTACCCTATTCCTCTCTGTCTTGAAAATGTGGTGGGATAATTGATCCTGGCAGTAACCCCATGTTACCTGCAGGCACATACTGCAGATTTCAAGTTGGAAATTTAACTAGTGATGTGCTCTTTTGCTTAAAATTTAAATCCTACTTGGAAATCTACTTCTTGATACTGTTATAAACCTGGACCAGACTGCTGAATTTATGTTGCAATCTGGCTACAGACTCATAGTTTTACTTTTTACAATTTGACAAAGTGTTAGATTCAGGTACTTACTAAGAGAATAAGGCCAGAAGGTTCCATGATTTTGAACAAACAACCGTAAGTTTTGCCATACAGAATTATGAAAGTAAATCAATCTACAATATCTATACAATTTATATTCCAATATCCAGAATTAATATGGAGTAAAAATGGGTAACAGTCAAACGGTTGTCAAAAACCCCACAGGGTAAATCAAATAGCAAACGCACTCCAGACAGATTCCATGGATTCCTCTGAAAATCTCCATCTGTTAGTTACAAGTTAGATGTTGGTCATCATATCTCATTAAAACTTCACAACAGATTTCAATTCTTCTCTTCCAAAGATCTAGCTCCAGAGCTCCCTCAAATGTCACTTCACCATGGACTGTCTCAATGATACTCATGTTCTGTTGGTGTACCTTCCTCTCCTGGGTCTATGTTGCTCTGGATTCTGAAAACTGCGCTGTAGCTTTTCACAGACAGCTAACTTCACTAAGCCAGTACTTCCCTGTTTGTTTTATTCTTGAGCTCTAATCTTGATCAGCTTGTGAACCGTTCACTCCACACACTCTGTGCACTGAAGTATGAATTGCTTGCCAGTTTCTTTTGAACCCTGCATGCCTATCAGGATGTTTCTAAACTCTAACTCCAATGCCTGGCTGTACCTACAGCCACCCCACACTTCTCCTGCTATAACCACTGCCCTTGTTCCTAGGCAGAATTGAATTTACCAGCCATGAGATCTCAACTATAGCAAAATCTTGTAAATATTTGTTCCCCGAATGTTACAACATTCACAGCTTGCTGGCTCACACAGGAAAAACTGCATGCAATGACAAGAGGACTTAATAATAGTACAGACTCTAATACTTTTTCTCATATCCTAGGTTACACTCATCCAGAGCATTTTTCTTGGGATAGATATTTAGAAGAAACTGGATCTTCTGCTGCTCCTGCTCGTGCATTTAAAGTTGTAAGTGACATGGCTTTAATATTTACTAGAGTTGTTCAAAGTAATTTGAAGAAGAGTTTTACATATTCAATTTTGCCTTAATGCTTGTACAATAATTTTGAAGTTTCACACGTAGTCAGACCTTGTCTCCTTGTGTTTCAGCGTCCTCCACATGGTTTCCAGAGAAATATGAAGCTGGAAGCTGTAGACAGACGCAATCCAGTGCTGATTCGTGTAGCTACAATTGTAGACGTTGATGAGCACAAGTTAAAGGTAGTCCAAAGGCTTTTACTCAGGAATAACTGCCTCTTTTAACTGTAGGTTTGTAGTAAGATAATTGCAATATTCAACATTACAAACATGTTTTGTGTCAATCTTGCCACATCATTCCTTTCCTATTTCTTACTTCTTGCAAAGAAAAGACTTGCATTTATATCTCACTATGCATGATTCCAAGACATCTAAAAGTGTTTTCTGCCAAATGAAACACTTGTTTTAAGCATGGTCACCGTTAATATGTGAAGAAAGAGTGAGAAAGTAGCTAAGATTGGTTACTTTGGATTCGGGAAACAGTAGATTAGATCAGATTCTGCTGAAGAATTTCCTAATTAAATTTGTTGGTCTCACTTCAATGCCACAATCACATGAAAATCTTAATTGAAAAACTGCACGTGATAAGAAAGCTTTAAGTCCAGTGTGTGCCCAGTAATGGTTACTGGTTACTCTGGGAGCGGTCTCATCAGTTCCCTCCAAATTTCATTGCCAGCCATTGTGGAGGATTATTATGGGAAAGTCATCTTGACTATATGGAGCATTTTTGCTACTCGCCTGAATCAGTGTGGTGTGAAAAGTAAATCTGCCCAAGCTTTTGTGCGTTATTAAACTGTGTCAGGAATTTTTTTTTGAAAATCCTCAATGGTGGGGGAAGAATGTGGGCAGAGTGCAGTTTTAGGCCCTTCCTGGACTCATTTGTGGGCTCAATAATTTCATAATCCTGTGGTTCTGAAATGTTCCATCAGTTTACTTTCAATCATCAGCAAAATGATCAACAGTGCTACCAAGAAGGAAATTTCTCCACTGGTTGGAGCTAGCAAGATGAAAGTTGGTTTTGGTTTTTGGAGGGTGATCATTTCAGCCCAAGAGTTTGGTAGTGTCTTGGGCCTAACTGTCTTCAACTGCTTCATCAATGACCTTCCCTCCATCATAGGATCAGGAATGGGGATGTCAGTGATAGTGCAGAGTGTGCAGTTTCTTTCCTGATACTTCAGGCACTGAAGGATTTTGTTTCTGCATGTATCAAAACCTGGACAGTGTTGGCTGACAAATGCAACACTGTCCATGTCACATGAGTGTCAGAAGAAAATGTAAACCTTTCCCTTTCACTTTCACAGGCATTATTATCGCTGAATGCACTACCAGAACATCCTAGGAGATTATCATTGGCTAAGAATTTAACTCAATTAGCCATACGGATGGCTACAAGAGTAAATTAAACACTGGGGATAAAGTGGCAAGAAATACTTCTCCTGTCTTCTCAATGCATCTTTTCACCATCTACATGGCAAAAGTTAGCAGTGTGATAGAATAATCTCTACTTACCTGGAGGAGTACCAAACACTCCCTTCAAGCCAAAACAGCTTGCTTGCTTGGTATCTCATCCAACACTTAAACAATCCCCCCCACCACAGTTGCAAAGTGAAAGAATATGTATCATCTACAAGATGCACCGCAGTAACTTAACCAAAATTCCATAGACAGCATCTTTCTAACCCAGAACCTTGACCATTTAGAATGACAAGTGTAGTAGACACATAGCAACATCCACCACCTATGAGTTCTCCTGTAAGCCACCATCCTGACATGGAACTGTATCGCTGAACTTCCTTATCGTCTGTTCAAAATTTTAGAACTTCTTTCGTAACAGCACTGCACCGGATAGATTTCAAAAAAGGTGGCTTACTGTTTTCTCAAAGGGCAATAGGAAGCATAGCATATGCTGACCTTTCCAGTGACATTCAAACTCGTGAATCAATAAAGAAAATTTCAAAAGAATTAATTTCCATTTAAATTTTATATCATTATGTTATTTTCCTACGCAGATCTATTTTGATGGATCAACCTCTGCCTACAGTTACTGGGTAGATACTGATAATCCAGACATACATCCTGCAGGGTGGTGTGCCAGAACAGGACATTATCTCCAGCCAGCAATTAGTGAGTACAGTAAATTTTCTTCCCTTCAACTCCAATTATCAAAATTCTTAATATTAATATTAATTTCAAGGTATAAACTAACAACTAATAGTTGTTTAGATTTCTTTTATTTCACAAGACATCGTATACATATTATTGCAGATCCAGGTGTCATACATAATTTTAAGGTTTACCTGCAACTTAGTCTGCACCTGTTTATAAGGGGATCTGTAGTGCTGAGGTATTCAGTAAAGATTAAAACAATATTTATTTCTATACAGGCTGTAAATCTGCATTCATTCTGATTTAGGAATTTCAATGCAGCAGACAACTTATCCAATCATTCTGTGAGTTGTACACACATGGAAAGCAATGCAGGTTTAATGAATAAAATATTCAGAGTTCTCTAAGGTATCACTGTGTCTGAAAATCAACATCCACATTTGGAAAAGAGTTGATCAGGAACTTTTCCATTTATTTTATAGAACTGTCAGATTCTTCAACTGAACCTGGGCAAAGAGGATGCCCAGCTCCAGGGTGGAAAGCTGTTAGTCATGCAAAAAGTTCCAAATACACCACCCATCATCGGTGAGTACCTGTTGGGGTGGTACAGTGGCTCAGTGGTTAACATTGCTGCCTCATAGTGGTCGGGACCTGGGTTTGATTCCAGCTTTGGGCACCTGTCTGTGTGGAGTTTGCACATTCACACCATGTCTGCACTAACTGAGCCTCCCATGAAGGAATCTCCTTCTTAACTTCTCCTCTTGCCTGAGACATGTTGATGCATAGGTTAAACCACCATTACTCATCTCTATCTAGTGAGAGAGCAGCTGTGTGGTCTGGTGAGTCTGCAGCAACTTTACTTTAACTTTTTACTTATATGAACAGCTTTTAAAAATTAAAATTCATTATAGTGTAAGCATGGGGAGAATCTCATAGGGATCTGAGGGATGTTAGGCCGACCCAGTATTGTAAGTCAGTGGCAGTCTCCAATAACAGTCCAGGGGATTGGCACATTCAAGAGTTTGCTCAGGATGATTCCAATCAGGTGCTCCATCCCTCTGCAGGCTGGGGACATGGACAGGGTCTGCCCTGTGGCTCCATAGCGGCCAGTTCGGGAGGTAGGGCTCATGCTGTCAGAGAAGTTTACAACTTCCAGTCAGGAATCATGACTCTTCTTGCTCGGCGATGTCTGTATAGGTCGTTCAAGGGGGTCGGGTCTATTAGAGAAACTAAGGGCAAAGGGAGTTGCTGAGGGGGCAATGGGTTGCGTCAAGGGTGGCCATTGCTGCAGGAATGAGATTCAGCAAATTAGTCTTTGGGACTGGGCCTATAGGCTGTGGGTAATGGAGGATTACTGTTGTGAGGGAGCCAGAGGGGCAACAAAACCTGCAATGGGGAATGTGGTAAAGCATGACTGGACTAGGGATAATGTGGGAGGAAGATCACCCTGAGTCAGGAGCACCCGGGCTTCAAGGAGGGGGGAGCACTGTATGACCACACTTGTCATGGTCACCGCGAATGCTGGGAGCTGGAGTTGGGGGGATGTGTTCAGGTGCAGGCACATGAAATTTGGCAGGGATCTGGGTGGGTGTGAAGACTGTGGATTTACTGGGAAGGGCTGCCTGGAAGGGCATTTGGATATGGATGCACACCGACACCTTCAGGAGGAGGCAGGAATCCACTGGCCAAGGAGCATTCATTGACACTTTTGAAGTTGAAACTGCATAGTAGGGAAGAAAATGGCTGCATCACACTTGGAATGGACTGAGTAAGTGACAACCGGTGATGGAGGGGTCTGCAGCACTGACTGATGCTGGGAAGTACTGCACATAGACCTATAATTTGTACATGACACAGACCTGTGGGGCGCCTATTCCCTGACCATCTAAACACATTGCTCCCTCTCTGTATGGCACCTCACAGCACAGACATTGCTGGACAACTCATTGACAGCTACACTTCTGGGCAAAAGAGGCCAGAAATAAATGGGGAGATAGCATAAGGAGCACCAAAGTTGTCAGCGTGACCCAAAGCCAATATGCATTGTTCATCTTCCTTCTCCATGAAGCTGTAGACTGTCAGCGTAGACCTCCATCCATGGAACATCGTCTGTAGCCGTGAAGTGAGGCTGATGGTGTCACAATGCCATTCGGTCCTACACAGGGGGGCTAACAACCAGATATATGGTTAAAGGACAGGCATTTCAACAAAAATTGAGAATTTTTTATAAGCTATTATAACCTGAACCATAAAAATGCCTTCAGTAAGTCTTCTTCCTTCTGTGCCTCTGGCTATGTCTTAGCCTACTGCCTCACTCTGCAGTAGGGCTGGAGGGAGCCAGCTCAATATTGGAGTCATTGGCTCTGAAGGTTTGGTCAGTCGATACTGGGGCTACTTTTTTAAAAATTCATTCACTGGATGAGGGCGTCGCTGGCTAGGCCAGCATTTATTGCCCATCCCTAATTGCTCAGAGGGCAGTTAAGAATCTCAAGTCACGTGTCAGCCAGACCAGGTAAGGATGACAGATGTGACATTAGTGAACCAGATGGGTTTTACTAACAATCAACAATGGATTTGTGGTCATCATTAGACTCTTAATTTCAGATTTTTATTGAATCAAACGTCACCATCTACCATGGCAGGATTTGAACCTGATCCCCAGAATATTATCGTGGTCTCTGGATTAACAGTCCGGTGATAATATGACTAGGCCGATGCCTTGCCTTGTGTCTGAATGGGCCATATAGGCCAAGGGACTTTTAACCCCCTTGGCATGAGCCTCAAAGTGTTCAGAGGGGGCCAGGCAGGATGGATGTGGAGGGCCAGGCCACCTCTGGAGTGTCCTGAGAGAAGACTTCTAAAGGAGCTGTGTGGAGTTCCTCCTCTGGTTGGGTACTTCCCAGCACTGTCCTGTCTCCATGTGAGGATGGGGCACCTACCGTGTGTACCAGGTGCCCATTCACCCAGTCGTGTGTGTGTGTGTGCACGCACGCGCGCGCATCACAGTCTCGCAGACTCTGAATGTGTTGGGCCTGGCTGTGTCCATACAGGTAGTCGGAGGATTACATGACATGCTGCATTGATGCAGCTTTTGGGCAGTAGGGGGCAGTATGTCCACATAGCTGTTTGTCAGTCCTGATCCTCCCTGTGCAGATGGATGAAGTCCCTGATTGCCAACATTACAGGGCCCTATCCTGCCTGGCACTTTGCAGGAGCAGGTCCACAGGGATCCTCCAAGTGCCAGAGGCCTGGCGCCTTTTTTCTTTGGCCAGCTGTGGAGCTGACAGAGATTATGGAGGTGCTCATCAGATTGTGGACCTAAACTCTTGAAGCCTAACGTTGCCACTGAGGTGCCAGCATCTAGGCTGGTGTGGGCTGCAGGAAGTATATTTGCCAATGCTTCCTCTGCAGCCTCGCTAACCTTGTCCTCGGAGGTCAAGGAGGTAGATTCTGGGGGAGCCGGAGCTTTCTCCACAGTGGTGGTGTCAATGCTGGCTGTACCTGCGAGACACAAGACAGAGAGGGCGTCACGGCCCGTGGTTAGCAGTGGTGTGCAGTGAAATGGCACTGCCAGCAGAGTTAATGTGAGAATTGCAGTGTAATGAAGAGTGGTACATACTGTGTTAGTGGGATACGGATGTCTCTGCATTGACGCAGCAATGGTCCAGCCTTCTGTGCGGACCAGGATTCTCTTCTCATAGGAGCAGAGGAGCTGAACGTCAGGCAGCCTCCACTTCCCCCACTTATGCTTGAATTGATCCATATGAAGTAAACTGTAACATACAGGAGGCTTTGAAACCAGGTTCAATCCCTAAGTGTTAAACCAACAAGCAGATTATAGTGCAATTGAAGTATTTTATGAATTTACTCACATCTTTAATTCTGGTTTTATCCTATTTTATCAACAGAACCCAGGCAGGTAAAACTTGCCAGGTAGGCAGCTTTTGAAATTGTGCACCAATCCTGAACTTTAATCTGCTCTTTCTGATCCTCAAACTGGGTGGGGTCCTTCTACAAATGAAATCATTTGACCTTGAAACGGTTGCTTGATTGGGGAGGTTTTTGTGGCTTTTCTGCCAGGGTGATGACAGCATAAAGAAGATCCAGTAGTACTCTTGATATGCAGTGGTAGTGTCTCTACCTCTGGGCCAGAAGGCCCAGGTTCAAGTCCCATTTTCTCCAGTGATGTGTTACCATTGTCCTGGACAGGTTAATTAAAAATGTCTAACGAGGTTGGATAAGATACGAAATCAAATAACGATGCATAATTAAATTTAGGCCTGTCTTTCATCGCTCCTCCCTGAATACGAAACCCTCTCCATGAGTACTAACTTGTTTCAGGCTGGTAGGTGAGGTCTAGGTATTAATTGTTTAGAGGGCATGGCAGAAACATTTGTTACCAGTTAGATTCAGTAGGTATTTTACAAAGTGCAGGAAGACCAGTGACAATTTGTAAGCCAAAATTGAAACCACATTGCAGTTCCACATGCTGGTTAAGCCCAAGGATTTGTGTGTTATTATGTTATTCCAAGTCCAAGACAGAAACCACTACACATTAGGATAAAGTGGAAGTATCAATGTGACTTGTAACACTTGGAAGCTCCTCTCCTCCCGATATACATTAAAGACCAAGAGTGATTGCAGGAGGCAATATGGTTAAAAACACAAAGAAGGAATGATGTGTAATTATGGTTCTCACGTCTGGCAAATTCTCAATTCCGGATTCTTGGATCTCTTTGTGAGATGACAGGAGACAGAGCTATGTTCCTGTATGCTTGCTACATGTAGAGTTATCCTACCCAGTCACCAGATTTTAATGGGTGTGAGCAATGTGTTTTTACAAAGTTTAAAGGCCAAATCTTACGATTCTTTTGGCTTGGTACGAGTTATGTCAAGTATCTTGAAGGGATTCTTATCATGAGGCCCAGTGAGATTTGTTGCCGAATCTTACCAAACACGCCTCATTGAATACCTACCGCAGCCCCATGGTGCCCCTAATATCCAATTCTGGACCCATCTCACATTCTCACAACAATTCAACACGCAATGGATATCAGCCAAACAAAAACATCTTTTGCATCCACGCCATTTTCAAAAGCCTGTAGTGTTCCCAGACAAGTACTGTCAGTCTGGAGCTGGCTTGCGTAAGTCTTGACATTTGCCCTGGACATGGCAGACGGGGGGAATTGATGCCCTGCTCTGCAGGCAGTGGCCTGGAGGTCCGGTTGGACGGGCTGATGCAAGGAGCAGCAGTTTGAATCTGTGACACCAGACCATTCTAGTCTGTCTGATGTTCCCCCTCCCTGCCTGCTCACCACCCACCCCACAACCACCACCACCACCTCAACAATGTTTGAGAAGTCTCAGCCGTCTGGAGGAATGCCCAGCAATGCAGGAGGACTGTCAATGTCCTTCTCCACATTGTCAGTGTAAGCGCCACCATTTTCTCTTCAGTAGCTCACATGAACACTACCTTTGCAACTGTTCCCATCTCTCACCAAGGCTCATGCTACACCACTCTCACTATTATCTGTGACACCTTCCTGACTCATTCTCAGCCACCACTAACCCTGCATGCTGTCTGT